TAAAAGAAAATTAAAAGGAATATGTGAAGCTTTAATAGAAAGTTCATATATTTATAAAGATGGTCAGTAAAATATTTATTTTCTTACGCTATTTTTAAATTTAAATTTTGTAAAGGAAAACTTATATAAATTTTATTTATAAAAACGTTTTGAATTTAAAATTAATGAATTTCTAATTTAATGATAACAAAAATTAATTCAACAAAATTGTTTTCAATTCAGAAGAAATTTACTCTTTATCAAAATAATTGAATTCTTACAAACAATTTCATTATTTATAAAAATAATTAATTTCTTTTAAGTTTTGGAAATTATGAATAAAAATAATTTAATTTTCTCAAAGAATTTTATAACAATTTATTTAAATAGGCAATTGAATTCAATTTTATTAAAATTATTAATAAAATAAATAATAAAATTTTTAAAAATACAAATTCAATTATTTCGAAGAAAATTTAAATTCTCTTAATAAATTTAATTAAAACTACAGGTACTGAAAATAATTGAATTCTTCTAAAACAATTTTATCAAAATTTTTGAAAATTCAATTAAAATGTACTGAAAATAATTAAACTCTTAAAGATAAAGTAATTTTTTTATTTTTGTAAATAATTGAATTCTTTTGAAGAAAACTGAAATAATTGTATCCAGGAATTTATATAGTTAAAATTGTACTGAAAATAATTGAATTCTTATAAAGATTTTTATCAAAATTTTTGAAAATAATTGGGTTCTTTCAAGGAATTGTATTAACATTTTTTTAAATAATTAAATTCTATTACAAAATTTTATTGAAATTGTATTTAAAATAATTGAATTTCTCTGAAGAATTTTATATCTTATAAAGTTAATTCAATTTTGTGAAGAATGTTATTAGAATTTTTTTTAAGGAATTGAGTGCTTTCAAGAAGTTTAGTTAAAAATTTATTGAAAATAGAAAAAATTCTGTTAGAAAAATTTTGTCAAAATTATTGAAAATAATTCAAATCTATGAAAAGAATTTCATTATTCATGAATAATTGAATTCTTGAATATTTAAATATTTTGAAAACAATTTTTTTTCGAAGAAAATTGATTAAAATTCTTTATACAGAAATATAATTAAAATTGTATACAAAATAATTGAATTCATATAAAAAATACCTATTATGAAAATATTTGAAATTAATTAATTTCTTCTAAATAATTAAAAAAAATTTTTAATAAAAACTGAATTCTTGTGAAGAATTTCAATATTTATGGAAACATCAATTTTTTTTTCTAAATATTTTTGTGTCAATATTGCTGCGTATTTTTAATTAATTTACTAAGCAAACAATTTTTTTTCGTTGATCAACATTGTGGATTTCAACTTGGTATTCTTTCAAAGAATTTTATTAAAATTTATTTATAAGGGTAATTGAAATACTACAAAAAATGTTATTATTTATGAAAATAATTGAATTCTTGAATAATTAAATTTTCTGAAAATAATTTGTTTCGAAGAAAATTAAAATTCTTTAGAGAAATTTAATTAAAATTGTATAGAAAATAATTCTATCCAGGAATTTTATTTAAATTGTATTGAAAAGAGTGAAATTTCTCCAAAGAATTTTATTATTTATGAAAATATGTAATTTAATTCTTGCGAAGAATTTTATCAAAATTTATTTATACACAGCTAATTGAAATTCTGCGAAGAATTTTATTAAAATTTCTTAAAAATAATAAATAATTATAATTGTTAATTATTTAATAAGTGAATTTGTTTTAAATTTTGAGCTTGAAATTGTAAATGAAAGGGGAAAATTAAAATAAAAATACTAATTTTTGGGGGTTGCTGTTTGCAAAAACTGAAGTCAAATAACAAATTTAGTGGACACATCTTCCATTAATATGTAATAATATAATAATGAAAATATATTTTCAATAATATTTAAATTATTATTTCTTTTTTTGTTTCAATTTTTATTTCAATTTCTGTTACTAATTATTTATTTTAATAATCAAAATACAATAATTGAAAATAATATAATATAAATAATAATAAATTATTAATTATAAATTGCTTATAATTATAAATAAATAATTAAAAAATAATAAAGTTCGAGGACAATGTAAATAAATAAATAAATAAAATTAAAAATACTAAAAATTGAAACGTCTTTGAAAACATAATTTTTAATTTCGAAAACTTTCTTAAAATTCTTCGGCTAATCATTTTAAAGATAATAAGGTCGCAAAAAGGAAAAAAAAAGGTTTTGAGAGAATTCAAAATAAGGATAACAGTAGAAAGAAACAGAGAGAGAGAGAGAGAAATCCGGTAATTTTTTTTGTACCTTTGAGGAAAAGCACATAATATACAAACAGTGCTTATATTTACTTTATTCGATATTTTTTGCCGTTTATTTTTGAGGTTTAAAACTTGAAAAGAAAGGTACAAAACCAATATATATCTATATGAAGAAATATACGCGAAGACGACACTCTCGTGGGTATTATGCACATTTGTACTTCGTACCCTTTAGTTTTTCACCAAGTTTACAGATAAAGTCGCATGATGACTCTTTTGCCTTCATCTTATGCTTTCAACTGTTTACAAGGTAAATATATGCCCTACAGCTAAAGTCTTCACATACTTGACATTCCTAAAATAATGTCTACAACATGCGTTTCTCTATCTCTCTCTTTCTCTCTCATACACCAGTAAAAACGAAAATTTTCTATAGGAAAAATCTCTTTTTGAAATTAAAAAATCCATTTTCTGTCATTTGCAGTTTGTTTTATATTTTTCTTTTCTTTTCTACCTTTTTAATGGGATTTCTTTTATCTGAACAAATAATTTTTTTAGGTGTGGTCTTTATTCAAAGATTAGTCATCTAACGCGATATAGAGAGAGTGTTATTAACGAAAGGGGAAAAACTAATAAAATGTACGAACCACTTCTAATCTACTGATATTTTTCGGATAGTAATTTATTAGATGATATAATGTCTATTATTTATTTCAAGTTAAAGTTTTTTTTTTAAATGGAGCAGAAAAAATTTGTCTCCTTCTTTTTTTTATTTCTCTATTCTTTCGCTTTAATAAATAGAAAAATATTTATTTCTTTTTTTTTTAATTTTAAAAAATTAATCAAATTATTATTTATTATTTTATTTAAAAATCTTAATTGCACAATTCTTCAAAAGGCTAATTTTTTTTAGTTTCTAAATTAAATTAATCAAAACTTAAATGATTTTTGTTAAATAAATATATATAAATACTTATATTATTCTAATTTATTTTTTCACATGAATTAACATTTTCAATAATTTCAATTCAAAACCATTTTGAAATTTAACTATTTCTAAAAATTAAAATTGTAGGTAATTCTTCCAAAATTCAATTTTTTTTTCAATTTTTAAATAAAATTATTCAGTACCTTAATTTTTTAGGAAAGTAATTAATTAATAAATATTTAAATATTATTAGGTACCGTTTTACAACAATTAGAATTTTTATTATTTTAATTAAAAAATTTATTCAAATTTAATTGTTTATAAAAATTCATACAATAACGCTTCTAATACTTAATTATAATTTAATTATTTAATTGAAATTCATTTTTAAATCGATTCTTATTAGAAAGATTTACAAAAATTCAATTATTTAAATACAAAAATTAATAATTGATCATTTTTTTAAAATTAAATCCTTACAAAGAATATAATCAAAATTTTTGAAAATAATTAAATTTTTAAATAAATTAAAAATAAAAAATAAAATTTTTAAGAATAATTGTATATTTTTCGAGTAATTCATTTAAACTTGTATTAAAAATAATTAAAATCTTGCGAAAAATTGTATTATTAATTAAAATAATTGAATTCTCGCAACAAATTTTATAAGAATGTTTTCTCGAATAATTCAATTCCTTGGAAAATTTTTATTATTTATAAAAATAATTGAATTTTTTGGATAATTTTTTTATCAAAAAAATTTTAAAAATGCTTAAATTTTTTCGAGGACTTTGATTATTGTGTAAAAAAGAATTGAATATTTAGAAACACATTTTATCAAAACTATTAAAAATGAATGATTTTTTTCCAAGAATTCAATAACTATTTTGTCTAAACAATAATTTAATTGTATCGTTAACTTTTATTAAAATAAAAAATATTGAAAATAATTTAATTCCTGTTAAAAATTCTATCATTTCTGAAAATAACTGAATTTTTGCGAAAAACTTTATCAAAATTTTTGAAAATAATTAAATTCTTTTTAAGAATTTTATTAGAATTTTTTTGAATTGTTTCTAAGAATTTTATTTAAATTTATGAGAAAAATATTTTTATTTTAATTATTAGTAAATTAAATATTAGATGAGTGCAAAGCTTGTAAACAGAAAAAATGTATTTACTTTTATTTATTAATTTACAAAGATAAACGAGACGAATAAGAAATAAATAGAAAAAAATAGAAAAAATGTAGATTTTCAATTTTTTAAGTAATTAATTAATTTTCTTGTAAATAAATAAAAATAAATACATTTTTTTTGTCTTTAGAAAAATGAAAAAAATCAGAACAGAAAACCAAAAATAAAATCTTTTTAATCGATTCTAAATTTGATCTAATTTTCAATTTATGAAAACTTTAATTGCTTCTACAATTTCTCTTTAAATAATAAAAAACCCAGTTAGTTAATTAATTGATATGATTGATTGGTTTTAAAATCCATTTAAAATTGCATCAGCCCCAAATTTGAGCAATAAAAATTTCAATTTATCCAAATTTAAATCCTTTTAAAGTATTTTATTTAAAATACGAGTATTAAATTTAATATTTATATTTAATTCAGTCAATTATTATTATAATTAAAGAAGAAAATTAATAACCAACGAAATATAAACTGTGGGACTTGAAAAATCATAGAAAGTTATGATTAATGTTTCGATTGTAAAAGTGGCATAATTAAAAAAAATTACTAAAACCGAAGAGGGGATAAAATTGAAAAAAAATGGAATAATTAAAATAGTCGATCACGTTCTCTAAATTTTTATTTTCCATTTGTAATCTCAACAGGGATAATTTCTCTGACCAGTATAATTTAGGGCCAGCCTAACACAATTTCCTCAAATCTAAAACGACACATGGGAAAAGTCTAACAGTTAATTCATTACCTAATACGCATCTACAATGTTTTTTATTTTTCTTTTTTTTTATTCATTACTTTTACTTAGGTATATATCGACTAGTAACAATATCAATGATTTCTTGAAATACCGCGTTTGGTAAAATTTTCTTTTTTTTTATTGTAAATACTGCGTTTAAATATCATTTCTTTTTTGTGCTATTTTGAGAAATAATAATCAAATATTGTGCACAGAGAAAAGGGCGGATATAGAAATATGATGTGATTTGAAAATTAAGCCCAGACACGAAGAGTTGTGTCCCAACTTCCGGTAGACAATGCGGTTCCATCGGGAGAAACACGGAGACAAGAGACTCGATTCTCGTGTCCGTATAGAAGAGCAACACGTTGACATTTCAATGTGTCCCAAACGTTCACGGTATAATCATTATAACCAGCGAACAACAGACGTCCGCTAACACTGAGATCAACGGCGTTTGCTCCAAAAATAATGCTCTCTTTTGCGTAAACTGCAACTTCCTTATCGGCCCGAAGATCAAAGAGGCGACAGGTTGCGTCGTCCGAACCTGTTGCCACCGCGTCGCCGCTAGGATGGAAGCGCACCTAAAATTACAATCAATTAAAGTTAATAGATATTACTTTATTAATAATAAAATAATATTAATTCATTAAAATAATAAATTCAAAATAATAAATTAAAATAATTAATTAAATTTCTGTAATTAAAAGGAATTTTTTAAACTAATATTTTAATTAATTTAAGTAATTTGTGTTTAAAAAATTATTGAAACGATATTATATATTTTCTTTAGACGAAATTGAATACCGAATTGACATCGGACTGATGTCCCTCAAAACTCTGAACGCATTGTCCACTCCGCATATCCCAGATGAAGACCATTTTGTCGCAACTTCCTGACACAAATGTATTGCCCGTTTCGCTGGGCGACAAATCAATGGACATCACGCTGTCCGAATGTCCGTGGAAATTTTGCAAAAGCTGTCCACTCTCAACGTCCCAAAGAGCACAAGTACTATCGCCACTTCCAGTCAACACTTGCTGATCGCTATTTGGAAATGCACAACAAGACATATACGACGTATGAGTTCCAACTGTTTTCTTTCTCGCCGATACATCGTCCTCAAGACTCAAAGGATAAACCGTGACTTTGTTGTCCAGGCCCCTAAAATAAAGGAGAAAATAAATAATTTAATCCCCTAAAAGTTAAACAAAATTTTCAATTTCTTTATTTTTTCTACTGTAAATAATCGTAATCTTCTGAAATTCGTTTCTTTTTCAAAGTAAATTTTTTTGAAATAATTTTGCGTCGCTATGAGAAAGAAATTATTTATACAGTTTCTAAATATAAAATTTATGTTTTTAATTTTTTATTGCAATAATTTTACGTCGCTATGAGAAAGAAATTATTTATCAGGGTTGCCACAAAAATTTTATTTTATTTTTCCCTGACTTTTTCCTGATTTCCAGACAAAAATTTGACTTTTTCCCTAACCCTGAAGAATATTCTGATTCACTTCAAAAATTATTAGATACTCAAAAAAATGTTCTATTACATTTATTTACGAATTTCTTTAATTGTAAAATATAAAATTATTCGAAAACATCAATAACTTCTTTTTAAAATAAATATTTAATCATTATTATTTTTCTATACATAAATTCAAATTTTCAAAGATTTTAATTTTAAACCTTTTTCAAAATTCAATTATTTCTAGAAATTCACACTATACCTAATGCTTTTAATATTCAATTATCATTTAAAATTTTAAGTGAAATAATTTTTTAATCAATTTGTAATAGAAAATTTTTCGAGAATTCAATTATTTAAATACAAAAATAAAAAAATATATAATATAAAATAATTTATTATATGAGACAAAACATCATAACAAACTTATAAAAATAAATTATTTTTTAAAATAATTGAATATTTCTAAAAATTGAATTTTTATGAAGAATTTTATCAAAATTTTTTTTAAATAATTGAATTCTTTCGGCGAATTTTAACAAAAATTTTAAGAATAAATGCAATTTTCTATCATTCTATTTAAAATTGTATAAATAAAAATTGAAATTCTGCGGAAGAATTAAAAAAAATTTTTTTTTAAATAATTCAAATCTCGAGAAAAAATTTATTATTTATGAAAATAATTGATTTCTTGCGAAGAATTTTATTCCAATTTTTTTAAATAATTGAATTCTTAAGAAGAATTGTATTGAAAATAATTGAATTATATAGGAAAATTTTTATTAAAATTGCAATTTTATTAACTAAATCTTGTAAAGAATTTTGTCAAAATTTTTTTAAATAATAGAATTTTTAAAAGAATTTTATTTAAATTTTTCTAAATAATTGAATTTCTTAGAACCACATTCTCTGAATATATTTGAATTCATTCGAGAAACTTCATTAAAAAATTAAAAATAATTGAATTAGTGTGAAGAAATTTATAAAGAATTAGTAAGTAATTGAATTCCTGTGAAATTTATATTAAAATTTTGTTTAAAAATAATTGAATTCGAAAGGATATTTTTACCCGTATACACATGAAATAAATAAATTCTTTTGGAAAATTTTATTAAAATAGTAGATATTAAAAATAATTGAAATGAGGAAAGTTTTTGAAAATAATTGAAATTTTGCCAAGAATTTTATTAAATTTTTTGCAAATAATTGAATTTCGGAGAAGAATTTTATTATTTATAAAAATAATTGAAATTTTGACGAGAATTTAAAAAATCTTTTGAAAATAATTGAATTTCTGTAATCAGTTGTTCTTAAAATTTTTATTAAAATTCATAAAAATTGATATTTTCTAAAATTTCAAATTTAAACCTTTGAAGTTCATCTAATTATGAAGATTGTAACCGCAACTCTTTTGAAATCAAATTAATTTTGAAATTTTTAAGTAAAATTGTTTATTAAATAATTTCTAAGTAATAATTTCATGGTAGTTGTTCAAGAATTAAGTTATTTAAAAAGAAATTATTGTCAGAAATAGAAAAAATTAAAGGGTTTGTATTAGACTTCTTGGCAATTTCATAGTTTATAAGGTAAGCAAAAAAGACAAAAATTCAGAATTTTCCTATAAATTCTGAATTTTTGTCTTTTTTGCTGACTTTTCCCTGATTTCCCTGACCTGTGGCAACCCTGTTTATACAGTTTCTGAATATAAAATTTATGTTTTTAATTTTTTTTCCCAATAATTTGGCGTCACAATAAAAAAAATTATTTATAAACAGTTTCTAAATATAAAATTTTAGTTTGTAATTTTTATTGCAATTAGTAAATACTAAATAATATTTTTAATAAAAAAATTCGTTCATTCGGACGTTAAAAATTTGAACATTACAATCATTTTACTGTAAGAAATATTTACCCGCAAGCCACTAGCATTCCACTGGGAGCATAAGCGCAAGCTATGACCCAAGTTGTCTGCATTGTAACTGCATGCTCTTTATTGGTGGTAAAAGCATCCCATATGATCATTTTGCCATCCTGAAATAGAAGAAATAAAAAATTATTCACATAAACTAATTTATTTTGGATATTTTTTAATTCAAATTAATACACACACCTTTATACATTTTTTTACTATAAAAAAAATAATTTAATCCACACTTACTTTATTAAAAAAAAAAATAGTCCGAATTGTCTTCTAAATACTTGTGCGTACATATTAGCAAAAACAAAATCACATGCTTTCAATAAAAGCAACACTGCTAAAAAAAATTTTAATCAAAACGCAAAAATTAGGGAGAATGCAAGAAAAAGAGTGCATCACTTTTTACACATTTTACGTCTCTTGTTTGCTACACTTATTCATTCTAATTTAATTAATTAGTTTATTTTAATTTATATTAAAATATAAAATATATTTTTTATATTAAAATATAAAAAAAAATATTTTTTTACATTAAAATATAAATAATAGATAAAATTCGGTGCTTGTATTCTTCTTCCATTTTTGCAAATAGAAAAAGACGAATTAGAAATATTTAATTTTATATTTAACATTTAATTTTTTAATAAAAAATTTTTGACGAATTAAAAATATTAATGTAACCACTTCTGCAATTTTCAATTTTCAACAACATTTATGATCAACGATTGAAAAGAAAAATTTTGCTATCGACGAAAACAATAAAATATTTTTATAAAAGATATACAAGAATTTAAATAGGAAAATATTTGTTATTCTTCTCCGTCAGTTTTTCAATTTTTTTATGCTTTTACTAATTTTTTTCTAGGCAATTTTCGAGAAATTTTAACATTTTTTATACAAAAATTTAAATAAAAAAAATATTTTTTCATTTTCAACCGTCAGTTTTCCAATTATTTTTACTGTGAATTTCAAACGTATTTTACTTAAAAATATTGATAGTTAAATAGCTCAAAAAAATGTTCCAACAATACTGAAAGTTCATTCATTTAAATACTGAAAATTTCAATACTGAAAATTCATTTATTTCTTTCCCAAATTTAAATTGTCTTCGAATAATATTGCGTAATGTTTTAAAAAAATAATGTATTAAGTTTCAAAGTGTTTAAATTTAATTTTTTATTGCGATTAGTAATTTTATTTTTGCAAGTATTTAATTGAAAAAATAATCCATTCATTTACACGTTCGGGATTTACGAAAGAACAAAAAAGTAAAATAGCTAAAGTTTAGAAACAGCCAAAAAAGGGATAAAAATTAGGCAATGCAGGTAAATTAACATAAAAGAAGATTTCAAAAGCAATCAAGGAAGCAATTCAGGCAGGAAAAAAAAATTTGCAGGCGTTTTTTTTTCTAAAAGCGGTATAAAGAAATAAAGAAAGCAACTCAAGCAGAAAAAATTGCGAATGCTTTCTAAAAAAAAAAGAAATTTACATTCGAACAGTAAAACATTTATATCAAAAAATTATTAAAATTCGTATCAAGTACCTGCGATGAAGAAACAATGTGTCTCTTATCTGGTGACCAATCAGAGCAAAGTACCTTCGCCTGATGTCCCTTTAATACTCTCCTAGGTTTCACATTAATACAGTTTATAGCCTCAAGTCTGTCAGCAACAGTTGCGACTATAATAATAATTATTTTTCTCAAAAACAATTTTTTTTGTTACTATTTACTATCTCATTATTATGAAAAATTATTTTTTTCAATAAGAAAATATTGATTCACATAATTTTTATTAAATTTAATAATAATTACACGTTCAAAGCCGAAAGGCATGAACTACACTACCGTCGGGAATTATCGGTACGGCTGCATGCGCACGGCCCAAAAACATACCAATCTTTAAATCACGTTTTTTTTGTAAATACAAATGTCAGAAAATTAACAAATATAGCATTCGAAAGATTATTAAATTCTACGATTAATAATACATAACTGAAAATTTTAATAATTTATACAAAGATTGCAGCAATCGACAAATTTGACAAAAAAATTTAAAAAATAAAATTTTATTGGAAATTTTTTCAACCCCTGCACATTTTTTAAAAATTGTAGAAAAAATTTGAAACTTATATAGGTGTGATCATTCAAATCTCATCTTTAATTTAAGACCAAAAGAGTTCAAAAATCTTAATCGGTTAGCGAGATATCATTATAAACGGCAGAGCATTTCCAGCCAAAAACCGTTCAAAATCGACTAATTCACTGCATTTGTTAAAAAACATGCTCGGACGTTTATAATGATATCTCACGAACCGAATAAGATTCTTGAATTCTTTTGGTCTTAAATTAAAGATGAGACTTGAATGATCACACCTATATATGTTTAAAATTTTTTCTATAATTTTTAAAAAATGTGCAGGGGTTGAAAAAATTTCCAAAAAAATTTTATTTTTTAAATTTTTTTGTCAAATTTGTTGATTGTTGCAATCTTTGTATAAATTATTACAATTTTCGGTTATGTATCATTAATCGTAAAATTTAATAATCTTTAGAATGGTATATTTGTTAATTTTTTGACATTTGCATTTACAAAAAAATCCTGATTTAATGATTGGTATGTTTTTGGGCCGTGCCATTTTACTTAAATGTTACTTGATATTTAAGTTTAAATATAGATAATATTAATTATTTACTATAATTAATTCAAATATTAATATTAATATTAATAATTAATAATATTAATATAATTAATATTATATTTAAATAATAATAATTATTAATTCGATAAGATAGAAATTAATTACCGAATTTGTAAACTAAAATTTGCAAAAATCAAATTTTAGATCAATAATGAAACTTAAATCGATTAAAATTTGGATAAATTGAATGATTAAATTATAGTTTAATAAGTACCTATTAAAGATTCTTTAAATTATTTTCATAAAAATAAACTTAAATCTCGCCGATAATACTAAAGAGTGGAAAAATCTACTCACGAGTAACGTCGTTTAACTTCTGCCTCTCATCCTCGAGACGAATTTTTAATGTCTCCGCCTCCTTCACGAGCTTCTCAATATGCTCCAATTCCGTTGCTGAGTCCATACTTTTCATTGATAATTCTTTTCTCGAAAATTTCTATGTCCCTTTAAATTTAGATCATTTCCGCCAACTTATTGATTCATTTCTCACTAACAATTTCTGGGAATTAACTCCGTCTCCATTATAAATTCAGCATCTCTGTAAATAGAAATATATTTTCAACTTTAAAAACAATATAAAGTATATAATCAAATTATTAAAGTTCATTTTATCAAATTTTGAACTTTTAGAACTTTTTAGCAAAATTTAGCAATCAAAATGTTTTGCAAAGAAACCTGTAAGAATATTAGATTAGGTTAGGTTTTCATTTTGTCAATAAAGCGTATAAGAACCATAAGAACACACCTTTGGCAAATTTTTGGATTTTCAACCTTTGATAATTTAAGGTTGAAAAAAGATTTTTCGGATAATCGATAAATTATTGTAAAAAGCTCCATCACCGAATTGATGTAGTTGAACTTGATCTGAGTATATTAGTCATTCTGCGAGAGATCTCTGATTCCTTCTTTTGCTTAACACGCACAGGAATAAACACGACGAACACTCAACTGACTTTCATGTTTCGATTATTTGTTTTCTAAAGCAATTATTCTTTTCCACGGTTGTTCTAATCACTTGTTACACGCGTTCAATTGTATTTAACAACATTTCCGAAAGAATAAACTTTTTCTCCAAACGTTTTCTCAATGCAAGTCCGCCATTTTGAGTTTGACTTCAGGGCCTCAGGGTTGGGTTAGTTCTAGTACAGAGCAGGGAGACGGGTTCAGGGTTGCGCAGTTACGCGTAACTCGAGGTTTTCTGGGGTGCTACCCTCTGTACCAAAAACATAAGTTCGAATGCTCATTATGCCGAATTTACAATTTAGAAATGACCAGATACGCGAATCCTCAATAACCTAAATTGTATATTGAATGAAATTCAAAAGTAGGGAATAATCATTTGATATATTCTGCATATGGAGAATATTATTTTAAACTAATTCTTTTTTTCCACAATTTGAAATTATTGCAATTTTTATTTTTGGAATTTCCACTTTACCTACATTTTAATAGATCGAAACGTAAAATATCAGAATTGACATTTAATTGAAATATGATGGAGAATAAATATATATTCACTGAATAAAAAGATTAAATAATTATTAAATGTTTGAATTTAATAAAAACATATTGTTCAAAAGTTACAGTGCGAATTGTACAGAATATATATTAATAAGAAATATAATTTGGCAGAATGTCGATTCGATCGATTTTATATTTGCAAGAAATTCAATTTGACAGAATATCAATTTATAAGAAACACGTTTTCGTAGAACTTTAACTTGTCAGAATTGTAATTTTGTAGAATATTAATATTGGCAAATCTAATTTTGGTAGAAATCTGCTTTATCAGAATGATCACATGTTCGAATCCTCAAAAGTTAGAATTCCATTTTTACCGAAAATGGATTCCACATAAATATTTGGCGCAAATTTTAAAATCGACCAATCAGAAATCAGAATTTTAAAATTTGCGCGAAATATTTATGTGGAATCCATTTTCGGTAAAAATGGAATTCTAACTTTTGAGGATTCGAACATGTGATCATTCTGATAAAGCAGATTTCTACCAAAATTAGATTTGCCAATATTAATATTCTACAAAATTACAATTCTGACAAGTTAAAGTTCTACGAAAACGTGTTTCTTATAAATTGATATTCTGTCAAATTGAATTTCTTGCAAATATAAAATCGATCGAATCGACATTCTGCCAAATTATATTTCTTATTAATATATATTCTGTACAATTCGCACTGTAACTTTTGAACAATATGTTTTTATTAAATTCAAACATTTAATAATTATTTAATCTTTTTATTCAGTGAATATATATTTATTCTCCATCATATTTCAATTAAATGTCAATTCTGATATTTTACGTTTCGATCTATTAAAATGTAGGTAAAGTGGAAATTCCAAAAATAAAAATTGCAATAATTTCAAATTGTGGAAAAAAAGAATTAGTTTAAAATAATATTCTCCATATGCAGAATATATCAAATGATTATTCCCTACTTTTGAATTTCATTCAATATACAATTTAGGTTATTGAGGATTCGCGTATCTGGTCATTTCTAAATTGTAAATTCGGCATAATGAGCATTCGAACTTATGTTTTTGGTACAGAGAGTAGCACCCCAGGTTTTCTACGTATATGTTAAGAATTCGGCGAATCATCGCGAACTAAGAGTTACGTTATTAAAGGTAACGCGGCTCGTAACAATATTGACAGGTGGCGATGCTCTGAGTTAAATCTACCTACCCTACCCATACGTGCTAAAGTGAGATTACAAGAAAGAAATTGACAAATGTTTATCTTTTCGCTTTGTAATTAAAATAATTTAATAACATCTACCAGAATAATCGATTCAACAAAATTTCATCACTTTCATCTAGTCGATATTTACTTTTTAAGGCAAGTAGCAAATTATAACTATAATTTTCGCATAACAACTTTAACATATAAGAACATTTTGACACGACTTAGTTTTTCACGTTTTTCACTTTCTAATAAAGAAAAATACTCAGTTTATTAAAATTTAAATATAGTGTTTATTATCATCAACTAATTATTATTTTCGTTTTGCATAAGTTTTCACAAAAAAATAACATTTGTAGGTTAGGATTTCTCTAAGTGCAAATGCTGCAATACATTTTATTGAATGTAAATATGTTTTTATTTACGTTCAATAAATTGCATATTTATGGGAATTTTCTCGAAAAATGAATTCAACATTACGAGTAATTTGATATTAATGATTATTCTCTGATTTTAGGAATTTAATTCCAATAAGTAGTTGAGAATGGAAGAAAATAACGAAAAAGAGTCAACTTTCGTTCAGGAAGAACCAACGACAACTGCTGGTCAACCTTTATCTGATTTTCTCCTTCAATTAGAAGATTACACACCAACGGTATTTTTATTTCAATCTTTTATTTAATTTCTATTCGCTAAAAGTTCTTATTTATTGAACTCAAGTTTACAACGTAAAATCTGATCATTTTCTAAGTAACAATTTTGAAAATCGTCAGGTTCGACGTAAAATTTAGTTTTAATTCTTATTTATATTAAATTATAAATTAAATTCTTATTTATATTAAAATAAGTAAAATGAATAATTAAATATATTAAAATAAAATTGTAAAATTTGTAAAAGTAAATTAATATATGAATTTTTTAGTTAGTGTTGTTATTTTAAAACGAAAAATTTCTCGCAGCTTCCTGACTCGATTACGGAACATTATTTGCGTACTGGAGGATTCAATACGACAGATGCAAGAATGTATGTATTTAAAAATTGTTTTAAAATTGTTCTGAATTTTTTTTCGTATTATTAATTTGTCAATTAAAAATTTGCCAATTACAGTGTACGTCTAGTGTCTTTGGCAGCGCAAAAATTCATCTCCGAGATATCAAATGACGCTCTTCAGCATTGTAAAACAAGAGGGGCGAATTTAAACACTAAAACCAAAATAAAAGATCGTCGTTATACATTAACAATGGAAGATTTAACACCTGCAGTCGCAGAATATGGAATTATTGTCAAGAAACCTCATTATTTCGTTTAATCTTCTTTTCTTAATTAATAAATTAATTAGGAAATAAATATTAAGAAATAAAAATTAATTAAGAAATAAAAAAATTAATTAAGAATTAAGAAATGAAAATATTAACTAAGAATTAAGAAATTAAATAAAATAATTAGCTCCCGTGAAAAATAAAAATTGTATCGATTATTTTATTTTCTACTAAAATCCGATTAAAAGCAACTATTTTATTTACACAAGAATTTTTTATTTACTTTAATAATATATATTATGCAAATATTTATACGAATTTCGAGACACTTCAATTAGAAAAAATAGAGTATGTTATAAAAATCTTAGAAGTATTTTCATAAAGCTCACAAGTAAGCTGTGTACTTTTCTTTCCAATAAAAACTTGATTCTACATAATTATTTCTGTTAACTCTATAATAGAAAATTATCACATATTAATATATACTTTATACAAAATTAAATATGTATAAATTTCAAACGTTATTTCATTCATGTCAAAAACACTTGTTGAATAAAAATCAGCCTTTTTTGCATATATTTTTTCACATCTTAAGTATATGGTATACTAATGATTAGAATTAATCAACAGAGATGAAATTAAATCCTCTCGTAACTGTCTTCTTTGCAACCGCTACAAAGAAACATACATCCAATCTGTAAGAGAATAAGAATAATAATAATTAACAGAAGAGAATATTTATGAGTGATAAATATGATTGGCCTATAAATGCCAAATAGGGAAGGAATAAATTCAATAATTTAAATTAGAATCAAATAAATTAGACAATTGAGAGAAACAAGAAGGAATTTCAGAGAAGAAAATAATTAACAAATTTACTTTGAATTGTCGTCCTAATGTACACCAAAATTCATGATTTGGCAACATTTCCCAACCAGTTGCTCCTCGTAGGAATTTCAAGGCAAGAGCGCCACCGATAAAATAAATTCCACCAAATACTAGCAAGAGTATAAAAAATACCGAACCACCGGACAAACCTTCGCTCTCATGTTTACATAAATGTGGCGAGAACAATATCAAATTCTAAAAAAGAATTTTTTCCATTAAAAAAAGAAATTTTTCAGATTAAAAAATTTTCTTTAATAAAAAACATTTTTGGAATTAAGAAACCTATTTTAAAACACACAGCAGGGCTCGAAGCAGTGAAAGTATTTAAAAATACGGACTTTACGGACCAAAAATTAAAAATTGCGGACTATTTACGGACCAAGTGACAAAAATAGAATCAGTCCGAATCAAATAAGAGAACATTTTACTTAATACCTATAAATTCAATTTTTCATAACTATAAAACATGAAGAAATCGATAACTCCGAGTCTTCGACTCGAAGTCATCGATTTCTTCATATTTTATAATAATTAATAATAATTATTAATAACAATAACTTATAATAATTAAAATCATTATCAACTCAATTATTATTTTTAAGAATTTTTATCTAAAATTCTTCTTTATATCGATTATTTTTAATAATTTTCGAAAAAGTTCTTGACAATTTTCAAATTCATTTCTTTACAATATTCAATTTTACGAAGTTTCAATTATTCGTGAATTCTTTAATTAAATAAATATTAGAAAATAGAAACTAAAAATAATATTAAAAAAACTCAATTAAACTTTTTAAAAAAAAATTAATTACGAAATTCAATTATTTTTTAATATTTACGCTATATTGCTTGTAATATTCAATTATCATCTAAAATTTTAACTGAAATTCATTTTTATGAAATGAAAATCAATTTTTATTAGAAAATTCTACTAGAATTCAATTATTTAAATACAAATTTAAATGCAAAATTGCAAATAAATAATTTATTGAATAATTATTCAATAAATAATTTATTTGCATCTTTAAGAATAATTACAACGTTTCTTAAAATTCAATTCCCATAAAAAATCGTTGTCAACAAATTTTTAAATAATTGGATTCTATCAACGAATTTTAATAAAATTTTTAAGAATAATTACATTTTTCGAGAAATTCAATTAAAATTGTATTCAAAATAATTGAAATTCTGCATTGAATTTTATTATTTATTAAAATAATAAATTGAATTCTTGGCAAGAATTTTATTAAAATTTTCAAAAATAATTAAATTCTTGTAAAAAATTAACAGGAATTCAATTATTTTTAAAAATTTTAATAAAATTCTTGGCATAAATTAAAAATAACAAAATTCTTAGCAGATCTTTCATTACTTTCAGAAATTTTAATAAAATTTTTCGCAAGAATTTAAATATTTTCGTAAAATAATAAAAATCTATGAAGAGATTCAATTATTTTCAAAAGTCTTAATAAAATTCTTCGCAAGAATTCAATTATTTTCAAAAATATCAGAATTTTAGCAGGAATTCAAACATTTTAAAAAATTTTGATAAAACTTTTTTTGGTAGAAATTCAATTATTTTTAAGACAATTTTAAAAAAATGTCTCAATAAAATTCAATTATTTTTAAAATTTTAATGAAATTCTTTGAAATAATTCAATTATTATAATCTAGGATTTTAACTGAAATCTATTTTTAAATCATTGTATATGAGAAAATTCTACCAGAATTCAATTATTTAAATACAAAAATAAATAATTTATTGAATAATTGAATGTTTCTTGGAATTCAATTCCTATTAAAAATTTTGTCAACAAATTTTTAAATAATTAAATTCTTTGGACGAATTTTAATAAAATTTTTTAAAATTTTCTCGAGGAAATCGATTAAAATTCTATTGAAAATAATTGAAATTTTTCAATGAATTTTATTATAATTTTTGAAAATAATTGAATTTTATTACTTTAGAAAATAATTGAATTCGTGTGATAAATATATAGTTAATTATGAAAATAATTGAAATTTTTTAATGAATTTTATTAAATTTTCTGAAAATAATTGAATTTTGTCGAAGAATTTTGCTATTTATTTATAAAGATAATTGAAATTTTGCAATGGATTTTATTAAAATTTTTAAAAATAATTGAATATTATTACTTTAGAAAATAATTGAATTCGTGTGATAAATATTGTTAATTATGAAAATAATTGAAATTTTTTAATAAATTTCATTAAAATTTTTGAAAATAATTGAATTTTGTCGAAGAATTTTGCTATTTATTTATAAAGATAATTGAGATGTTGACCATTTTTTTTTTAGATTTTTTGAAAATAATTGAATTTCGGAGAAGAATTTTAATATTTCTAAAGATAATTGAAATTTTGACGAGAATTTAAAAAAATTTTTGAACATAATTGAATTTTTGCGAAGAATTTTATTACTTTTAAAAATAATTGGCTTTCTGCAATCATTTGTAATTTCTCTAAAATTCTCAAAATTATATCGTCTAATTTACGAACTTTTCATCCTTTTTGAATGAAATTACGGACTTTACGGACCTTTTTTCAAAAAAACGGACTTTTACGGACTTCAAGCAAAGTTACGGACTTTTTCAGGATTTACAGACCTACTTCGAGCCCTGACACAGCGATTAAGAGAATCGACTTACGGTAATTGAAGAATTCTGTGATTGAACATCAGGCTTAAGTGCCGTAGAACAACTGGAGCAGCATATTAAATTGATATTCGTTATATTTTGCTTGTGTCTGAACACCAGCATAAGAATTTTTTCATAATTTGTTTCCAATTCCAATTTACTTTCAGCAACAGTTCCTAAACTCATCGGCCCCTTTTGCGAGGGATCATTTTTATTCCAGCTGCACAGCTGAAAAAATATCAATTTCCTGCATTCAATTTTCTCCAAGACAAAATTAATTATTGATATTTTAGTAAAAGAGTCATTGAACAACAGAGATAACAAATTTTTAATCTCTTTTATCAAAAAAAAATTCGATAAATAGAGGAAATTCTTACAGATACTGGACTTTGACATCCATCGTCAATTGTCACATTCGACAGGGAAACATCCTTACATGGTTGAAACCAGAATGACCGATTGTCAAAACTAAGTTGTAATGGTCTGCAATAAAAATACAAATTATAGCGCAAAGCGAGACTAAAATACAGAAAAAATATATTATACTAAATATATTATAGTACGAATAGTACTTAATATTTATAGTACAAAAAAACATGAAATTTTTGTTAACAAGTACTATTTTCCGAAAGCAAATAATGTACACAAAGGTTTATTATTATTCTTCCCGGTAATTTAGATCAAAAGAACAAGATACAAATGTCAAGAAAATCGTACAGTCCTTTTGTTATAAATTTCCTGAAATTATTAACAAACGATTGCGTAATGCATTTTTAGGGAAAATGTCCCGAAAAAAAAGAATACTAACCCTTGTTTTGATAGACTAGAAAAATCGTATCCAGAACCGTCAGGTAGAGAACACGAGCAAGGACTATTTTGTATACATTGTGAAGTCACTTGGGAACATATTATAACTAGAATAATTGTGTATTGAACAAAATTTACGTACAAATCCATATTTGACGAATTTCAAAATTATCTAATGATATTCTCATTTTACGCCTTTAAATCTGACAGTCTGATATAGTTTCGTTTTCGTTATTTTTTTTCTGTGACATTACCGACCAAGGACAAGTTAGTAGTATCAATAATTCACAGATGGCTTCCTTTTTGCAATTTAAAGATACATTTTCATTGGCTGATAAATTTTTGCGAATTTAAAATTCAAAAGCTATAACCAATGAGATTCATTCACATAACGCACGCGCAGTGTGTATCATCTTCTGGTGCTTTCAAGACTTGGAAAATTAAATTTTATTTTCGCCACGTGTGTGGACCAAAATGAATTAATTGCTTTTATGATTGGTCATTTGACGGAGGTTTAGTGAATATTTCAAAAGAAATTAACCTCACAATTGTCATCAGTGTAGAAAGAAGTTAATTTGAATAAAAGAGTTACATCGCAGTGACAGTGTTATTCAACAACACGTTTAACAATAACAATGTGATTTAATATCATTGTTATTGTTCAAAACATTAAATGAATAGTGAAAATTTCATTTTTCTCTTTACAAAAAAAGCATGTTCCTGATAAAATTCAGTTCATTCAGTTCATTCAGTTGGTGAGCATTAACACTATTTGGATTATTTAATGTATATGTATACATATATATATATATATATATATATACATAACAGCGATCATAACCTCTAAATTGTATGTGAGGGCAAAGTTTTTTTTTGCGACTCATTTTTATGGGTGTATCTTTTATTCTACTGTTCTTGGCTGTACGTAAAATTTTTTTCCAAAAAAATATATTACGAAACATTTATCATTATCCTACGTACGACGTACGTCAATCAAAAGGTGATTGCATGGCAGAAAAGCACTATTCTGATGCAACTAAGACACAGGAAAAATATTCTTATTCTCAAATTACGTTGTTGTGCGTAATCAATAAAAAAAAATTTACCGTAAGTTATTTTTCATAAGTATATATAAGTTATTAACACTTGTTTGTTTCTTATCTACTGTTACTATTTATAATATGTTTATTTTCATTTCATAAAAAAATTAAACTTTTTTTTTTGTGTTGATAAAAACAATCTATTTTTTTATCTAACAATTGTTTTATACTTTTTTAAATTAGTGATTAATTATTGCAACAATATTATTTGCACTGACTTTTTATTTTGATTTTTTTATCACTTTGTAAACAATTGTTTCACAATGTATTGTATTGTTATTGTTATTTATTATTTACATTTAATTTCGGAATTCTAATATAATTTTAATAAAATATAATTATTTAATAAAACTATTTTGTAGAAAATTATTTTGATAAAATTATTTAATAAAGATTTATTAAAATTATTTAGTAAACATTTAATAAAAATTATTATAATTATTTAGTAAACATTTAATAAAAATTTATTAAAATTATTTAGTAAACGTTTAATAAAATATTTGATTTTTCAGTTTCTGAGTAAACGAATGCAGTTATTTCATTGAAAGATATGTAGAAATGTCACGCAGTTTACCAGAAAGGGTGGCTGGCCTTTACTATGCCCACGGCCTATTTTGTTCGTCTCATCCTATAATTGTTATTTCATTCGCTATTTCTGTCATATTACTATGCAGGTAAGAGGGCTAAAAATAATTTCAACTGCAGCTAATTTTGAACTCGAAATATGTAATATAATTTTTGTTTACAGTTATCCATTGGTAAATTTGCCAATGCCTGGAAATGCTCCAAAAATTATTGTCAATCACACAACAGCAACAATATCGTCAAATGGTTCAAAAAATTCCGATCTCTATGCACAACAAGTGGTACTGAGAGTCGCAGTACTACCATGGGCGGAGGATTTATCTCTAATGGATGCCTTTCGAGGGCCTCTTTATGAAATTTTCAATCTTTTGGAAATTATACAAAATTACCAAGATCATGAAACGTGAGTTTAGAAATTTTTTTTGAAATTCACAACGTTTATAATCAACGATTTAGAAACATATTTTTCCATTCAAGGTTTTATATATTTTTGCACAAAAAATATTTTGCTTACTTTTCTGAAGAAAAAAGAAAAGGAAAAATTTGTAAACATAAAATTTTATTGTTGCCGTCGAGAAAAATATTTTTTTTCTTTTAATCCTTGTTCATAAACTTTGTGAGCGTCACCCACGTGTTTAGAAAATTAAATTATTATTAAACATTACATGTGTTGATTTCTTTTTGTAGGAAAAATTCTCTCAGTCAAATTTGCTTACACGTGGAGGCAGTTAAGAAAAGAAATCCCAAAAAGCCGGATATTTTGCCAGAGTACAATTGCCTCGTTTTATCTCCAGCAAATTTTTGGCAACGAAGTATCGAGGCTTTCAATAAGGACACAAATCTAATTGGCACTATATTTTCCTATCAAGTAAGGAACGAATTTTCGTCCATTCTAATTTTTATTTTTTACACACACAAAATTTTAATAAAATTCTTGGCAAAATTTCAATTATAATTAAATTTTCCAAAAGAATTCAATTATTTAAAAAAAAGTTAATAAAATTCTACGCAAACCTTTAATTATTTTTATAAAATAATAAAAATTTCACAAGAGTCATTCCATTATATTTCGACTAAAGTCGTTGCTGACTAATTTTAAAAAATTATAATATTTTGCAGGAATGATGTTAAAGATATTAGGATCACCGAACAAAAAGAATTTATAAATATTTTTTATATTTATTGTAAAATAAGCATCTAAAGTATATGAAGTCGTAAAAACTGTCACATTTTCATCTATTAGAAAATATTAAAGAAAACACATAATTTACTATAAAAATGTAAAAAAGTTATAAGAATTTATTAAGAATGAATTGTTTTATTATTATAAATTGATAGAAACAATTATTAATAAGAAATATTAAATAAAAAAGGATTTTAAAGTTCACCTGCCAAATAACCTAATTTTGCAAATTTCATTCACTAAATGTGAGAAAGAGAAATCATTAAATTGAATAAAACCTTATGAAATATAAAGAACCTGTGATTAACTTTTAGTTTTTCTTATCACTTTCTTCCTTTTTTCTTCATAAATGTTAAAAAATAAGCAATTAAAACTGGCACTTTGCTTATTTTCACGATTTTAAAATGCAAATAACTTCTGCCCAGAAAAATGAAAAATTACGAAAATTGGACAATAATTATTTGATCACTAAATACACTCACTGGAAAAAGATTTTCTTTGGTCCCGAAGCTATTTTCCGAAATAATTAATTTTAAACTTTTCACTATTTCTATCAGGTTAATACATGTGATTTTTTTAAAACTGAAGTTGGTTCAAAACGATTAAACAAGAAGAGCTAACTTCGTCCTTTAAAAAACACATGTATTAACCTGATAAAAATAGTAAAAAGTTTAAAGTTAATAAATTCGGAAAATAGCTTCGGGACCAAAGAAAATCTTTTTCCAGTGAGTGTATCTAGTGATCAAATAATTATTGCCCAATTTTCGTAATTTTTCATTTTTCTGGGCAGAAGTTATTTGCATTTTAAAATCGTGAAAATAAGCAAAGTGCCAGTTTTAATTGCTTATTTTTTAACATTTATGAAGAAAAAAGGAAGAAAGTGATAAGAAAAACTAAAAGTTAATCACAGGTTCTTTATATTTCATAAGGTTTTATTCAATTTAATGATTTCTCTTTCTCACATTTAGTGAATGAAATTTGCAAAATTAGGTTATTTGGCAGGTGAACTTTAAAATCCTTTTTTATTTAATATTTCTTATTAATAATTGTTTCTATCAATTTATAATAATAAAACAATTCTTTCTTAATAAATTCTTATAACTTTTTTACATTTTTATAGTAAATTATGTGTTTTCTTTAATATTTTCTAATAGATGAAAATGTGACAGTTTTTACGACTTCATATACTTTAGATGCTTATTTTACAATAAATATAAAAAATATTTAAAAAATTCTTTTTGTTCGGTGATCCTAATATCTTTAACATCATTCCTGCAAAATATTATAATTTTTTAAAATTAGTCAGCAACGACTTTAGTCGAAATATAATGGAATGACTCACAGGGATTCAATTATTTTCATAAATAATAATATTCTTTTTAGGAATTTAATTATTTTCATAATAGAACTCACTGCAGAATTTCAACTATTTTTAAATTCATTTTTAATAGAATTCCTCGAAAAATGTAATTATTTTTAAAAAATTTATTAAAATTCGTCAAAAGAATTCAATTATATATTTAAAAATTTATTGATAAAATTCTTTATGGGAATTCAAGTTTAAGAAACATGCAATTATTCAATAATTTTTTTTTAACAATTCAGTGAAATTAATTTTTTTGAGAAAGTTTAATTGCAGATTTTTTTTTGTTGAAATTATTTGATGTTTTTATTTTCTAATATATTTAATTGAAGAATTTACGAATAATTGAAATTTTGTAACATTGAATTGTAAACAAATGAATTTGAAAATTTTCAAAGAACTCTTTTAAAAATTATTAAAAATAATGCATTTATAGAAGAATTTTAGTTAAAAACACGAAGAAAAGAATTTAATTTTGGAAAAGTTACAAATTATTGCAGAAATTCAAATCATTTTCAAGAGTAATAATATTCTTCGCAAAAATTAAATATTGTTAAAAAAAAAATAAAATTATTCTTAGAAATTCAATTATTTTCAAAAATAATAAAACTCATCGCAGAATTTCTATTATTTTTAATACAATTTTAATCGAATTTCTCGAAAAATGTAATTATTCTTAAAAACTGTATTAAAATTCGTCAAAAGAATTCTTTTATTTAAAAATTTATTGATAAAATTCTTTATGAGAATTGAATTTTAAGAAACATTCAATTATTCAATAAATTATTTATTTTTGTATTTAAATAATTGAATTCTAGTAGAATTTTCTAATAAAAATTTACTTAAAAATGAATTTTAGTTAAAATTTTAAATAATAATTGAATATTAATAGCAATATAGTGTGAATTTTTAGAAATAATTGAATTTTGTAATTAATTTTTTTGAATAGTTTAATTGAATTTTTTTTTAAACTATTTGAAGTTTTTATTTTCTAATATACATTTAATTGAAGAATTTATAAATGATTGAAATTTCGTAAAATTGAATATTGTAAACAAATGGATTTGAAAATTGTCAAAGAACTTTTTTGAAAACTATTAAAAATAATCGATTTAAAGAAGAATTTTAATCAAAAATTCTAGAAAATAATTGAAATGATGAAAATAATTTTGAAGAAATACAATATTTTTATAATATAAAATAATGATTTTATCACTGGTCCATCTTTAATTACTGTAAAACATGAAGAAATTGATCACTCCGAGTCGAAGACTCGGAGTTATCGATATCTTCATGTTTTATAGTTATGAAAAATTTAATTTATAGTTTTAAGTAAAATTTTTGGTCCGTAAAGTTCGTATTTTTAAATACTTTCACTGGTTCGAACCCTGTAATCTTTATCTATTTAAAACCAGAGTCTTCAGAAGGGAAAAATAAGTATCGCCGAGATGCTATTTGGAATGAGTTTAAAAGAAACGGGAATCAAGAGGCATCCTATTCGAGTTCGACAAAGAATTATACAATACGCAGTTACTTTGTTTCTAAAAGAACACGACACAAAGTAAGTTGGTAATTTTCTTTCCAACAAGGCGAAAAAATAATTTCTAAATTAATTTACAGAAAAGCATTCGAAAAATACTAATTATATCTATTTCAGATACATAGATGGCTTAAAACGCAGATTGACAAACTACTACTCTCTACATCAGTCCGAAGATAAAAACGCAACAAATCCACCACTTGCTAACGAAACATTGCACATACTTTATCCAGGAGAATTCAATTACAGTGATTTTTTCCCCCTGACAATGACATTTGTCGCTTTATTCGTCTACGTATATTTTTCAGTGAGAAAAATCGAGATAGTAAAATCAAAATTCGGAATAGCATTTAGTGCAACAATCACAGTGATCTCCTCACTGTCAATGACCGTGGGTGTCTGCTTCTTTTTTGGTTTAACACTCAGTCTCAGTGGCAAAGAAGTATTTCCCTATCTAGTAATAATAGTTGGCTTGGAAAATGTATTAGTCCTAACGAAAAGTGTCGTCAGTACACCATCGAATTTAGACGTAAAAATTCGCGTCGCTCAAGGTCTATCAAAGGAAGGATGGTCAATAACAAAAAACATCCTAACCGAAGTCACTATTTTAACAATTGGCTTATTTACCTTCGTCCCGGCAATACAAGAATTTTCCATATTCGCCATTGTTGGTTTATTGAGTGATTTTTTCCTTCAAATGGTATTTTTCTCAACAATTCTTGCATTCGATATTAAGAGATCGGAATTTTCTGTTCAAAATTCAAAGTATCATTTCGCCAATGATCCGTACTTAAGGAAACAGCCGTTTACAACAATAATATCGAATAAGAAGCCAAATATTTTCCGCTCCAAGTCACATCCGAAATTAAATGGCGTCGTTGGACCAACGAATGTTATTGCGCCAAATACACAGAATACGACGCCTTTAGTGAAAATTCCGAAACGACTCAAATTAGTACATCTTTGGGCAAGGACGAGAATATTTCAACGAGCATTTATGGTTTGGATGGTGGTCTGGATTAGTATGATTATTTATAATTCAGGCATTGTCGAGCATATGATTCATTTGAGCGATAATTTGAAACACGATACCGATATTGATGGGTACACTATCGAAAAATCGCAGATGTTGGATAATTTTGTTGAAATGAGCACCGAGAAACCGATTTTGACATCCACAACCATGCCACCTAATCACTTACGCGATCAAGTAAGTTTTAATTATCAAAGATAGAATTAAAACTAATACGAATCAAGTCAAAATAAAAACAAATTACTTTTCCATTTATTTTTAGAAATTAGCATTTTTGATAATTTATTTAATAGTATTTAAAATATAATTAACAGAAAATAGTATTTAGAATAGAATTAATAGAAAATAGTATTTAGAATACAATTAATAGAAAATAGTATTTAGAATACAATTAATGGAAAATAGTATTAAAAATTATTTGTTTCTTTTTAGAAATACGAGACGAAGAATATTACGGAGGAATTAAACAAATTGCGAGCGGTCGATTTTCCACCTTGGAATCGTCTCTCATTGTATCATTGGTCGACAATACTGTCCATGTACAATATATCAATGGCTGGCAAACAAATGATTATTCTTCCCACAATTAAACTATCATATGCAATTAGTCCTCAGATAGCAAAACAGATAAGCAATCCTAATGATATTCAACAATTTCAATGGCAAAGTTTAGCGACAGCCGCTCTCGATCCTCTCGATTTTTCCGGTTCGTATATAAAAAAAATCCAAGTAGTAAAAATATTTCAATTTTTCTCAAATTTCGAAAGTTCAAATAAATTTTTTTTTTGCCTTTTTTCGAAAAAAAATCCAAAAAGGAAAAGCAATTAAAATTTAACATCAATTTAGTTAAAAATTAAGGATTTAATTTTTATCTATTTTAATTAATACAAAAAAGTATATATTTGTAAAAAATGTACAAATTAATAGTAATAAAAGTTTATTATCGTTCATTTGAACATTCGAAACTCTGAGAGAGCTTGGGATAATATGACTCTTACGACTATTCCAGACTATTTTCAAAAAATGCGACAATTTTGAATTTTTTTCACATATTGCAAAAAAATATCACTTTCTTTTTTGGTATAAAATGAAACTAATTTCGATTTTTAAAAATGCGAAAAGTATAATCAAAATTTTGATTTAAAATTTGCATTTAAAATAATTGATTTAGAGAAAAATTTTAATTGTAAATTAGAAAAATTAAATTTTGGAAGATTTAGAATTTTGAAAGTAGTTGAAATTTTTGGGAAACAATTTACATTTCAAAATTCTGAATAATTCAATTTTCCAAAAAAATTTCATATAAAATCTTTTTGAAGTTACTTGAATTTTTTAATATGAAAAGCAGGCATAAAATTTGTAAAATTGAATTAAAAACAATTTATTTTTGATTGACAAAATCAATTAAAATTTAAATTGCATTTTTTTTAATAATTAAATTCTCAAAGAACTTTCTAAAAAAATTACTAAAAAACAATTGATTTAGAAAAGAATTTAAGTTAAAAATTCTAGAAAATAATTGAATATTAGTAGAGTTATAGAAAAAAATGTTTAGAAATAATTGAATTTCAAAATGTTTTAAATTTGAATTTTTGAAGATATACATTTTAAATAATTTTAATTAAAAATTTTAAGCTTTGAAAAATTTTGATTAAAATTTCTTTGAAATTCTTTCGAATTTTTTAAAATTTCTTTTCAAATTAATTATTTATTGTTAATTGTTTGGAATTTTTTAACAAAAATTTAATTGAAAAATTTTTAAATAATTGAAATTTTGTAAAATTGAATTAAAAGCAATTGAAATTTAAATTGTATTTTGAGGAAACTTTTTTTCTTTCTTTTTCGAATCTTAATTAAATTCTTAAAGAACTTTTTCAAAATTATGAAAAACAATTGATTTAGAAAAGAACTTCAGTAAAAACTTCTAGAAAATAACTAAATTTTGATCAAATTAGAGTAGCAATTTTAAGAAATAATTAAATTTCATAAGTTTTCAACTTTTTTTTGAAAATTTCAATTTATGTAGAAAGTTTTAATTATATTTAAATAATTTAAGAAATTATTAAAGTTTTTGTGTAATTTTAGTTACAAATTCTAGAAAGTAATTAAATTTTAGAAGAAAATTACGGTTACAATTTAGAAAAATAATAAAATTTCACAAAGTTTGAAATTAAAATTAAAAAAAAATTTTAACTTTTGTGAAAAAATATAAAAGTGAAAGTATTTAAATATTTGTTTAACAAGATTATTGAACTTTGAATAAAAGAATTAAAAAATTTCGAAAAAATTAGGGTTTAGAAAAATTTAATTTTTGAAAATTTGTAATTTAAATTTTAACTTAAATTTAATTAAAATTTAACTAAAATTTAAGTTAAATTTAATTAAAATTTTGAAAATAGTTAACTTTCTAAAAGTAATGAAATGAAATTAAATGAAAATTGTCAAAAGATTGTAAATTTCGTCAAATTTTATATTTTGCAAAATTTTATCACAATTTTTTAAAAAAAATAATCGTGTTTTCGCAGAAATATGTAAAAGAATTTGAAAAAATGTTTTGAAAATAATTCAAGTTTGAAAGAGATTTTGAAAAAAGTTAGAATTGATGTTATCAAAATAAGGGAAGAAGTTAAAAACTTTTCTGCGGAAATCAGAGAAAAGTCAGGGAAATATAAAGTCTAATTTTTAAAAAACTCCGAATAAAATAAACTATATTTTAGACTTTTTTGTAATTTGAATCGACTAAAACGATTTTATTCGGGTTTTAAAGTCGATCTGAGATTTGGTAATTTTTTTATAAATTGAAAAGATTGAATATTAAAAATTGAATCTCTTTTCAGTTTTTGAATAAAAGTTTTTCTCTCTAATCTTTAATTTCTCTTTAATAATTAGAAAAAATGAATTACAGATATGGAATTGCCAACAAGATCCGAAGTTCGTGGATTCAATACCGATGCACCATTTATACCAACGAGTCCAATGGAAATATTTTTAGCCGCATTACTCTGCTCGGTGAGCGTGATTGTCGTCGCCTATACAATGGTAGTGCTGTACCGTTGCATTTGCACCAGAAATTATGCGGAATGGCGAGCCAGTTGGCATAATCAGGAAAAAATATCAGATTCGGCAACTCAACTGGTACTGGAAGCTGTTCCCTTGGTACTCGATGGTCACGTCCAAGAAGTCGAGTGCATCGCAACTGATGGCAATACCGTCGCCAGTAGTTGTTTAGCAGGACACATAAGAGTTTGGGACACAGTATCAGGAGAACAACTGTCATTCGTCGATCGTCGTCAATTTTTCACAATGCCCCAAAAGGATCTAATAAACATAGCTCAAGATCAAGACGACCTAATGTCAGACTACGAAAGTGGTTCACCGCCATCCAGAGGCGAAATGGAAATTATCGCAAATTCCTACAATTCCTACAATTTTCCTTCAAATTCAACTTCAATTTATAAGCGTAAATCGTTTCACGAATTGAATACCTATTCGAAAATGAGTCAAGAATTGAGAAACAAGAGGCACTCGTTTGGCAATACCGGCGATCTTAATTATCAAATTAATGATGTTTCGTCGGAAAAGCGTAAAACTGGTAATCAAACACTTGATCTACCGGATTTAAGGCCAGCTATTAATATTAAATTTTCAAATATGAAATATTCGCCTATTCAAAAAAATTCTGATCGCGGTTTTGATTATGGCGAACAATACAAACAGATCTTTGACGATCACAGGAAATTAAGGGAATTACACAGATGTGACGATACAAAGCAGAGAAATCAAAATTTATCGAAAGTTAATAAATTAACAGATAGTGTTATTTCTTTGAGTGTTGATAAAACATCGCAAATGTCATACGTGCCACAAATATGGTGCATTGATTATCAGGAGAATTTAATTGTTGTCGGTTGTGCCAATGGGACATTGGAATTTTGGGAAGGCACGACTGGCAGATTTAAGGTGAGAGAAAATATTTGTAATTCATTTCTTTTTCTTTAATTTTAATTTAATCTTTAAACTTGATTATTAATTAAGTTTAAAGCTCTTAATTACTCTAATTCCTATTTTGCATTATTATTATCTATAATTATTAAAAAACATGTCAAATTTAACAAATTTTTCTAAAATTGTTCGCAAAAATATTTTATTTTCAGTGCTTGTTTGACGATGCATCAGGATTAGGAATCTCGGCAGTGAAATTCATTGGCAATAGAGTTATAGTAGCTAGATTAAATGGATCTCTAGATTTTTTGCAACTAGAAAGTTATAGCGAGGGGCAACAAATAGATTGGGGCTTCACATCATACAGGCGAAGTGAGTAAATATATTTTTAAATGCAATTTCAAGTTTTAGTTAAATATGAAAAAATGTTTCCAAAGTTTTGAACGTTCAATATTTTCTACTTCTTTTAATTTGAATTTTGTTTTCAAAAAAAAATTATTTTCTATATTGAAAGAATTAATTATCCACTAAATAAATATTTATTTTTAATTCTTTTTTTATTTTTGAATAGTTAAGAGTCATTCCATTATATTTCGACTAAAGTCGTTGCTGACTAATTTTAAAAAATTATAATATTTTGCAGGAATGATGTTAAAGATATTAGGATCACCGAACAAAAAGAATTTTTTAAATATTTTTTATATTTATTGTAAAATAAGCATCTAAAGTATATGAAGTCGTAAAAACTGTCACATTTTCATCTATTAGAAAATATTAAAGAAAACACATAATTTACTATAAAAATGTAAAAAAGTTATAAGAATTTATTAAGAAAGAATTGTTTTATTATTATAAATTGATAGAAACAATTATTAATAAGAAATATTAAATAAAAAAGGATTTTAAAGTTCACCTGCCAAATAACCTAATTTTGCAAATTTCATTCACTAAATGTGAGAAAGAGAAATCATTAAATTGAATAAAACCTTATGAAATATAAAGAACCTGTGATTAACTTTTAGTTTTTCTTATCACTTTCTTCCTTTTTTCTTCATAAATGTTAAAAAATAAGCAATTAAAACTGGCACTTTGCTTATTTTCACGATTTTAAAATGCAAATAACTTCTGCCCAGAAAAATGAAAAATTACGAAAATTGGACAATAATTATTTGATCACTAAATACACTCACTGGAAAAAGATTTTCTTTGGTCCCGAAGCTATTTTCCGAATTTATTAACTTTAAACTTTTTACTATTTTTATCAGGTTAATACATGTGTTTTTTAAAGGACGAAGTTAGCTCTTCTTGTTTAATCGTTTTGAACCAACTTCAGTTTTAAAAAAATCACATGTATTAACCTGATAGAAATAGTGAAAAGTTTAAAATTAATTATTTCGGAAAATAGCTTCGGGACCAAAGAAAATCTTTTTCCAGTGAGTGTATTTAGTGATCAAATAATTATTGTCCAATTTTCGTAATTTTTCATTTTTCTGGGCAGAAGTTATTTGCATTTTAAAATCGTGAAAATAAGCAAAGTGCCAGTTTTAATTGCTTATTTTTTAACATTTATGAAGAAAAAAGGAAGAAAGTGATAAGAAAAACTAAAAGTTAATCACAGGTTCTTTATATTTCATAAGGTTTTATTCAATTTAATGATTTCTCTTTCTCACATTTAGTGAATGAAATTTGCAAAATTAGGTTATTTGGCAGGTGAACTTTAAAATCCTTTTTTATTTAATATTTCTTATTAATAATTGTTTCTATCAATTTATAATAATAAAACAATTCATTCTTAATAAATTCTTATAACTTTTTTACATTTTTATAGTAAATTATGTGTTTTCTTTAATATTTTCTAATAGATGAAAATGTGACAGTTTTTACGACTTCATATACTTTAGATGCTTATTTTACAATAAATATAAAAAATATTTATAAATTCTTTTTGTTCGGTGATCCTAATATCTTTAACATCATTCCTGCAAAATATTATAATTTTTTAAAATTAGTCAGCAACGACTTTAGTCGAAATATAATGGAATGACTCTTAAACATTTTTTTTCTTTTTAAAAATATTTCATTCATTTGAACGTTCGAAACTTTTAAGAAAATATAAAATGTACAAGTACATATCAAAATCTATATTAATAATCGTTGTATTCTGGTAATCTGTTCGCAGTTTGAAGTCAGTTGTCATTTGCTTTTTTGTTTCTTAACTTTTTAATAATTTTTCTTTTTAAATTCAATTTTTTAAATTTCAATTTTAAAATTAATGTACATATTGAAAATCATTGAATTGTTGCAAAGAATTTTATCAAAAAATTTGATAATAATTGAATTCCTTCGAAGAATTTTATTACATATTTAGAAAAGTAATTGAATTCTCGCGAAGAATTTTATTAAAATTTTTGAAAATTCTAATTAAATTATTTTTGAAGAATTTCTTTGAATTTTTTTTTAAATAATGGAGTTTCTTTAATAATTTGAATTAAAAATTTTGAAAATAATTTAATTTTATGAAAAATTTCTTTCAAGTTTTTAAAATAATCGTATTTATAATTGAAATTAAACATTTAATTATTTCGAATTTTATTAAAATTTTAGATAATAATTGAATTCTTTTGTAAAATTTTATAACTAATTAAGAAAAAAATTGAATTCTTTCGTGAAATTTTTTTGAAAGTAATTGATTTTTTGCAAAGAATTTTACTACTTATAAATAAAATTGAATTGTTTCGTAGGATTTATTGAAATTTTAGAAAATAATTGAATTTTTTCGAAAAAATATTAATAAACATTTTTTAAAAATTGAATTCTTTCATGAAATTTTTTTGAAAATATTTGAATTTTTGCAAAGAATTTTACTATTTATAAATATAATTGAATTGTTTCGAAGGATTTATTAAAGTTTTAGAAAACAATTAAATTCTTTTAAAATATTTTATAACAAATTATGAAAAAAATTGAATTCTTTCGTGAAATTTTTTTGAAAATATTTGAATTTTTGCAAAGATTTTATAACGAATTAAGAAAAAAATTGAATTCTTTCGTGACATATTTTTTTTGAAAATAATTGAAATTTTAGAAAGATTCTAATATTTAAAATATTAATTGAATTGTTTCGAAGGATTTATTCAATTTTTAGAACATAATTGTATTCGTTCGGGAAATTTTATTAAAATTTTGTTTAAAAATAATTATATTTTTGCAAAAAGTTTTACTACCTATTTATAAAAATAATTGAATTCTTACGAAGAATGTTATTTATGAAAATAATTTAAACTCTTGCGAAGAATTTTAATAAAATTTTTGAAATTAGTAAACAAGAATAATTAATTAGTAAATTAGTTAATAATTGAATTTTTTTAAAGTTTGAATCTGAAATTATTCAAAAATTCATATTTGAAAATAAAAAATGTTGTAATTTACATAATAATAAATTGAATACCACGTTTCCAAAAAATATAAAACTAAATAATAAATGTTTTTTTACTTATAATTCTTATAATTATTATTATAATTAAATATTAATTATTTTTGTAATTTTTCTTCGCGAATATAAATATTCGTGAACAAATTTTGAAACTGAAAGAAAATCGTCCACAGAATGTTAATTAAAAATGGATAATAATTTTGCAATTATAGATATGCTTTTAAATTTGACTTTTCAGCGCATGTGAGAACGGGAAGTGCGGGCTCGCCGATGGATATTAATAATACAACACAATCCGTAGAGGATTTACGATGTATAAAATTATGTTCTCATCGAGCGCATCAACAAGTGATAACAGTTCTCGATAGTGAAGGAGGACGAGTTTTAACCGGAAGTCAAGATCACACCATAAAAGTCTATAGGGTTGAGGATCAACTTCCCTTATATACTCTACACGGTCATTGTGGGCCTATTTCTTGTCTCTTTATAGACAGAATAAATCCAATGACTTCAGGAAGTGGATCTCAAGATGGTTTACTCTGCGTTTGGGATCTTCTAACTGGTATTTTTCTTTTTTTTCTACTAGAAAAGAAAACTAAAACAATACTAAAAAGAATTTAGTACTCTTTTTCTATACCAGAAAGAAATGTTTCTTAATTTAAAAATCACAGTTTCTTAGACTTGTTTTGTTTCATTTAAAATAAATTTTTCCTTCAAACAAAAGAAGATTTTATAATTTCAAAGAAATTTGTTCTTCAAATCAAAGAAATTTTATCATTGATAAAGAATCAGAAATAATTCTTTACTTTAAAGAAGAAAATTTTTTTTAAAATAAATAAATTGTTTTTTTGAATCAAATAAATTTTCTTTGTATCAAAGAGAAATTAATTTTCAATCGAAGAAACAAGTAAATGGTTTCTTTAAATTAACAAAAACTTTTTTCTGGGTGTAATAATAAAAACTACTAAAAAATAATATTAAAAGAAGAGATAATAAATAAATTATAATAATATTGAAATCAAAAATAATTTAACGAATTTACACATTTTGCTTTTCTTTTTTGGTATTTAAGAAGATCGACAAAAAAATAGATTTTTCAATATTTTTAGGAACGTGTATGTACAGCATCCAAGCTCATGATGGCGCAGTTGCATCAATAACTTGTTCCGCCTCTTACGTTATCAGTATGGGTCTTGATGAAAAACTTTGTGTTTGGGAACGCTTTCAGGGACATTTATTACACGCCCTACCATCGCAGAGGATTTCGTTATGCTTACAACTTGTTATGCTAACTCATCATTTACTTATAACAAGTACTCAGGTATCTTAATTTTTCCCTTTTAATTAAATTCTAACAGGTTTAATTAATAATGAATTAAATCTTAATAAATTTAATTAAACAAAAACAGGTTTCGGATAATATAACTTTTTCGACTATTTTTTAAAAAGGCGACTTCTTTCACCATTGGAAATTTAATAATTTATACGAATTTTTACTCTAACTTATCCAAAATTAATTTAATAATTTCAATTCAATCTTCTCGAATTTTTAACCAAAATTCTCTGTATATCAATTTTTTTTAATTTTTAAGAAAGTCCTTCGAGAATTCAATTATTCAAAGAAAAGAAAACATTTTCAAAAACAAAATTTTTTAGAATTTTACAATAAAATTGTTTAAGATTCCAATTTTAAATTATTTATAGAAATTGTAAACGCAACTCTTATTTATAAAAATCAATTATTTTTGGAAGTTTTAAGTAAAATTATTCAGTAAATAATTTATGAGTAGTGTTTTTATAATTCTTCAAGAACTAAATTATTTCAATATAAATAAATTATTGAATAAATAAATTCAATTTTCATATTATGTAAAGTTTCATTAATGTTAAAAATAAAAAATAATTTAAGATTTTGTATTAAAATTCATGGTAATATCAAATTTATTTTTTTAATAATTCAATTCTCAAAGAACTTTCTTAAAATTATTGATTTAGAAAAGAATTTGGACTGGAAATTCTAGAAAATAATTAAATATTCTCAAAGAACTTTCTCAAAATTATTGAAAATAATGGATTTAGAAAAGAATTTCAGTAAAAAATTCCAGAAAATAATTGAATATTGGGAGAGTTATAGTAAAAACTTCTCAGAAATAATTAAATTTCAAAATGTTTTAAATTGAAATTTTTGAAGATATGCATTTTAAATAATTTTAATTAAAAAATTTAAATTGAAAAATTTTGATTCAAATTTCTTTGAAATTTTTTCGACTCTTTCAGATTTCCTTTCAAATTAATTGTTTATTAATCATTTTTTTTAACTTTTAAAGATAAGTTTAATTGAAAAATTTTGGAATTATTGAAATTTTGTAAAATTTAATTAAAAACAATTGAAATTTAAATTCTATTTTAAGTGAACTTTCTTTTTTTTTTTTTTGAGTACATAATTAAATTTTTAAAGAACTTTCTCAAAATTATGAAAAATAATTGATTTAGAAAAGAATTTCAGTAAAAATTCCAGAAAATAATTGATACTATAGTATCAATTTTAAGAATTAATTAAATTTCAAAAGATTTCAACTTTTTTTGAGAATTTCAATTCATGCATTTATGCAAATTCTAGAAAAAATTAAAATTTTGTGAAGGTAATTGAATTCCAAAAAGTAATTAATTGAAAATTTGTCAAAAAATTTGATTGAAATTAATTTTATATTCTGGATAATTTTATTGCAATTTTTTAAATTAATCGTAATTCTGAAGAGAAATCAGAAAAAATTTGCAAAAAAAGTTTTGAAAGAATTGAAAAATTGAGTTATCAGAATAAAGAGAATAGTTCAAAACTTTTCTAGAAATTAAGAAAAATCAGGGAAATTTTTAATCAACCAAAACGACTTTTTTTGCTTCTTAAAGTCGGTCCGAGGCCTGAATCAATAATTAATTAATTTCTAATAAGAAATAATTAAGTAAAAAAAAGCAATTGAATATTTAGACATAAATCGTAGTGTAAATTTTTTGTTTGTAATTTTCCTAAAGCTTTGAACGTTCAAATGAACGAAAACTTTTTCTATTTGAATATTTTTCAAAATTATATTTTTGTTATACAAAAAAGAAACAATTAAAATTAAACATTTACCTACTTACTTAGGAATTAATTTTTTTATAATTTTTCTTATAAAAAAAATACGAAGTACTTAAAAGTAGTAAAAAATGTCGTTCATTTGAACGTTCAAAACTTTAGGAACATTGTTTGCAATTATAAAAATTGTAATTAAATTGCAGTAAAGAATAATAATAATTATATGAAAAATTAATTTCAGGGTTCCTTAATTATTTGGGACGTAAGAACTGGAGAACCTGTTCGAGAAGTGAGATTAGGACACAAGGACAATAGTGTCTTTATAAAACAAATGTTGCCACTTCGCGATAGTGTAATATGTGACTTTGGTAGACAGTTAAGAATAGTTAGATTTCCCCTTGTTTCAGACAAGATGGATTAAAATTTTTACAAAACAAAAAATTCAACATAATTGCGCAACTGAAGAAAAAGACTTTTTATCCAAAGTTAATTAACATCGAAATCTAAGAGGCTTTTAGTCTTCTATTTTTAAGATTTTATGCTGAATAATATCAAATCGAGCACCTCATAGAAATATCGTCACAAAGATATTTTCAATAATTGTTTTTTTATATATACAGTGGAACCTCGATTATCCGAACTAACCTAGGCAAGGCCGAGTTCGGATAATCGAAAGTTCGGATAATAGAGATTTTAATTTTTTTTATATAATAATTAAAGTAAAAAAATCGATAGTTGAATTATATATATTTCATTTAATTCATTTTTTAAATATACATAAGTATATATACGTAAATATATATTAATTCATATAATAATATATTAATAAAACATAGAATTCAGAATTTTTTAAGATTTTTCTGGCATAAATTTCGTTATTTTCCTTTGAAAGATTTGGGAGGCCAAAAAAAAGTTTGGATAATAGAAGTTCGGATAAAATGATTTTCGGTTCGGATAATGGAGGGTTCGGATAACAGAGGTTCGGATAATCGAGGTTCCACTGTAATTGTATAAATCTACAATTTTTAGAAAATCAAATTTTAAAAAATCAAATTAAAAAAATCGTATTTTTGTCAAAAAAAGTAAAGTTAAAAAAAAGAAAAAAATATTTACTTGATACTTTTGATTTATAGAGCGTAAGAATATAAAGTATCAAAGCTGACTTTTAAATATGCAATTACTTTGTAAATTTTATTCAATTATATATTTATTATTTTCCCCTCCCCACAAAATTTGATATAACTTATACAAATAATAATATAATTGTAATATTTAACACACTTCCTTGAATCCGTCGCAGATAATGGAAAAATGATATTAAAAATGTAAAAATAATGTTAATGAGTAAGAATACAATTTTAGTATATATATTTTGAAGGCTATACTATTGGCGGTGAGAAAACTAGTAAATGTATTTTCTACGATAAATTATTATTATACGAATTTTCGTAAATATATTTACGCTATTTTTTTTTAAATTAAGAAGCATTTCCAAATATGAAACATCTATAAAGAGCGACATTTTTCTGCATTTTTTCTCTTTTTTGATCAATTTTCCGAGATTGTTTTACTTTGATTTTTGAAGAAAGTAGAACAAAAATTGTGCCATTTTTTTCATTTTTCACTTCTTGTTCACGATAAACATTTTCGAAATATAAACATTTAAAACTTAAGTTCCATTCATTTTTTTCATTTAGAATATTTTGCATTTGCTGTTATAAATACAAGTTTACAAATCACTTGAATCTGTAATACATTTTTAGATTATTGAATAATTTTTCTTTAATATTTTCCAAGATTTTCCGATACTTTTTTAAAATAATTTCAAATATCTATTGTTGCATAAATGTTTCCGTATTTGGAAGAGGCGAATTAAGGCAGCTAAAAATATTTAATAAAAAGAACATAGTCCCAAAATGTATTTTCAACATGTTATTGGAAATATTAATAATAATTCTTGACTGTGATGTTGAGCTAGAAAATAAGCGTTAATTTGTAACATTTAATTTTTAACGTCAACGCTTTTCAATATTGTAGAACTTAAATTATTTAATGTGTGAAAACTGTTTTTAGTTTATTTTTTTTTTTAATTGCGTGTGCAATATTTTAATTTTGTTCCCCGACTGATGTTAATGAATTTTTTTTTCAATCTAATACATTTGAAATAAAAAAAATTGCGAAATTTTTAATATTAATTTTTAAGGCTTAGAATGAGCGATGAGTCAGAAAAAAAATTGTGGTCTGTTAGTGCCTTGAATATGTTATTAATTATTATTAAAATTCTAGACACACACTTCTTTATAATAAATATCTTAATTTTTTAAATTATAAATATCAAAAGTTTATATAAAATTATATAATTGCAAAATAAAAAAAAAATAATAAAGCACGAGTAAATTAGTTTTCAATATATGTATTTAATTTTTCAATTTCGTAATAAATCAATAATTTCGTAATTATTGTGTAAGAAAGTATTTTTCAAAAAGCCTTGTCACTTTTAGTTACAATTAAAAGAAAAATTAATTTTCTAATTATAAAATTAGCTTTTACGCTTTTACGTAACCAATTATTATTTTCAATTTTATTTGCTTTCTTATTACTATTTCGTTCTAATTTTAATTTTCTCTGAATAATGATAATTTTCACGCAATTACAATGAAGAATGAAATAGAATATAAAATAGAAGAATAAAAAGGGAATTAAAGAACTATTTTTCTAAAAAAAATAAAGATAACAAATTGCAAATGAATTCATACTAGTTCTGATTTTATCAACAGCAAAAAAAAAATCGAGAGCAATACCTGTGAATCTATTCACTAAACGCATAATTCTTAGAAGAGATTGCGAAAAATTATCAACTTTGTATCGACGAAAATCCTCACAAATAAACTTCTTTTCTTTTCTCTCAAACAATTTTAGTTATTCATTTTATGAAAATATAATTTAAATAAATAGAGAAGGTCTTATCTCTCGAGAGAATATTGCGGAGATTAAAAATATGCATATAAAATAGTGAATCAACAGAGATTACTAGATGAAAAAGTAAACTGCATTGCAATTTAAGAGGATTAATAAATATACCTGGAACAAATTGTAAGCGGTTATTGACTTCTTCGTATCTAATAAATGATGCGTCAGTTTCATCAATCAGAGGAAAATCAAAGTAGTCTAGTTGATTGAATAACTTATAAATTAAAAAATCAAATAAGAATTTTTTTTCAATTTAAATTAATTTCTTTTAATTATTTTTTATTACAAATTCCAAAATTAATATTTGTAATATATTATCGAATAAAATAATTATATTTACACATTCCTAAGAAAGATATATTTGACTCAGTCTACTAAATTTTTTATTTGCTTCAAATAAATTTTAAATAAATCCACAATTTGAAATAAAATTTTTATTTGGAATAAATTTTATTTGTCCACAAATAAATTTCTTTTGGTTCAAAAAAATTTTATTACGTTATAAATAAATCCATGATTCGAAATAAAAGTTTTACTTGTTTCAAACAATTTTTACTTCGTTATAAATAAATCCATAATTTGGAATAACATTTCTATTTGTTTCAAATAAATTTTATTCGGTTACAAATAAATCGTTAATTTCAAATTAAATTCTTATTTGTTTCAAATAAATTTCTCTTATGGTTCAAAAGAAATTTTATTTTTTGCAAACAAATTTAATTTGATTTAAGTAAATTTCTTTTGTTTCAAAATAAAAATTTTCTTTCTTTCAAATAAATTCTTTTGAGTCGATTAAAATTTTATTTGGTTCAATAACTTTAAATAAACAAGAAAATAAATAAAATTTTTTTCAAATAAATTTCTTTTGGTTCAAATAAAACTTATCTGCTTCAAAAAAATTTCTTTTGGTTTAAATAAAATATTTATTTATTGCAAATAAATTTCTTTTGGTTGAAAAAAAATTTTACTTGTTTCAAATTATATTTTATTTGTTTTAAATAAATCCCTAATTTGAAATAAACTTTATATTTGTTTCAAATAAATTTTATTTGTGTCGAATAAAATTTCTATTTTTTGCAAATAAGTTTTATTTGCGTTAAAAAAAATTTGTATTTGTTCCAAATAAATTTTATTTTTATTAAGGGCATTTGAACCATGATGACGTCACAGATTTAAAACTAATGCTTTGCACAAACTGTGACGTCATCAAGGTTCAAATCCCCTTAAATGGCAATGAAAGTTTTTCATTAATTATTTATTTTCAATTAATGACTTATTAATTATTTCTAATTAGGTAGTTAAAAATGAAAAAATAAATTTCTTCGGACTGAGTAGAAATAAAATTTTCGAAATTTTAATAATAGATTTTTTCACTTTAAGGGCATTTTATAGGGACATTTAAATGCGAGTCATTGTAATTTAATCATAGATTTGTATTTATATTGTCTCTCTTAACCTCCATATATAACCCTAACCTTCGATAACGATGATTGGTTTGTTGAGTACTAAAACTGGGTCAAATTCACTTTATACTCAAATAAGAACTGCACCTTATCATTGAAAAGCCTAAATAAAATTTGCAGTATAGTTAAAAGAAAGATTAAATTTTTTTTTTAAAGACGATAAAAAGAAGGGAATTTTTATTTTCAGATAAGACGCAGGAAATTGTTTTTTTTTTTAAGGAAAACAGATTAATCGAGTATTAAATTAAATACTGATTTTGCAGAAATTTTATAGGCTCAAAATTCTCGCTCTTATTTATTTCCTTCGAAATTTCATTTTCCAAATAAAAAATTATTGTTAATTAATTTTAAAAATATATTCTCTGAAAGCTTTTTCTATCAGTCAATTCGATTGATTGATTTATTTTTTGTATTTTTATTTATATTTCAATTAAACTAATTAGATTAATATTTTTCAACTTGGGGAGAAAATGCGACAAAGTGGAATTTTAATATTAGAAAAATATTAAAAATTGAAAAAAAATTTTATGCGAAATTTTTGTTAAAAAATTCTAAATAATTAAAAAAAAAAATAATTGAAAATAGAAAATATTTGAAAAATCTTTCATAAAGTGAGGAAAATATTAGTAAAGAAAAAAAATTATAATTTATTATTGTAATTTATATTTGTTTATATTTAAAACTGAAACAATGAGGAGTAATATCAAATTATCTGCCATTACATTGATCAAACGATTTGAGATTACAGGTCAATCGAATATAATTTAGTAGCAGATTCTTGATACATCTTTTGAAGATTAATAAAAGATTAAATTTTTTTCGTTTACATGTAATTAAATTTTCTATATTACATATAATTATTATAGACTTTTTATTTAGATATTCAATATATTGTGACTCAAAATAAATTAATAGCAATAAATAATATAATATAAATAAATAATAAACAAATATAAATTAATTATAAATAAATTTTATAATTTTTATTGGTTCAAAACTTATTATTACTCATTAAGATACTACTCATATATTGATTAAAAATAAATAAATAAATATAAATAAAAATACACAAAGAGAAATGTTTAAATTAAACCAAACAAAGTTTATTTTAAACAAATAAATAATGTTTATTAAATAAATATAAATTAAAAAATATAAATTAATAATCAAATATAAATAAATAAATTTTCAATTGAGATTCAATATATTGACTCAAAATAAATAAGTAAATAAATTAATGTAAACAAATAAAAATAAATAAATTTTTAAGAATAAAAATACAGATAATATGTAAAAGTAAAACATTTCAGAATCAAATTAAAAAAAAATTAATTTGAAAACTCTTGTGCCCTTGTTAATTAAAAGTAATTTTGCTATTTAAATAAATATGTAAATTAAAATAAATGAATATAAAATTAAAATTAATAAATTAAAAATTACTCGTTATTTTAAAAAAACTATAGATTAATCGAATCAAAGTGCAAATATAAAGGAAGAGAAATTAATCTTTATTGAAGAAGAAAAAGAAGATTATTACTCTCCCACTAGAAATCACTATAAAAAATTGATTTTCAATGAGGTGAAAAAAATTTTTATTGTCAACATAAAATAATCAGAAATTAGAAATCACGTGAAATGGGGGATTAAATTTTATAAATTATAGATTCTTGTACATGTATATCTATATCTATATCTAATAAGTATAGAAGATGAAAAATAAAGTGGGGTACGTGCAAAAGAGTGGGAGTAACAGAAAGTAAAACTTGGAGTTACTTTCAAATAGAGGATGGGGCTCCTTCATTCCACTAACAGTTCTCGGGCAAAATTTATAAAAAAAAAACCGCGAAAATTTTAATTTTCCATTATTTTCTGTTGTCAATTTAAAATAATTCTCACCTGACGACAAATGTGTTTCAGTTTTCAAAAAAAAAAAATTTTCTCAAAGTATTTTTAATTATTAAACAAAATATATTAAATAATTAAAATAAATAAATAAAAATATATCAAATAAATAAAATAAATAAATAAAAATATATGAAAATAAATTAATATATTAAATAAATAAAAAATACATCAATTAAATAGATTATAAAAAAATATTTTAATTAGTGTTTAAAAAAATATTCTCGCCAGTGAAATGAAATTCAAACGAATTGAAATTTTATATTTAAAATTTTAAGAACTATTTTTATTTTCAAGTATATTTTAATTATTAATTAATAAGTTAATAAATGGCTGTTAAAAAATAGACCAGTTTCCTTAAGAGAAAAATCACTGTCGGCTTACAAAATTTGCCAAGTGCTTAGGATTCTAAACAACATTTTTTTTTTGGAAAAATGACTCAACTGGAGAATTTTGACAATTTTAACAGGTACGTGCAAATTTTCTCTCGCATATATTTTTTTAGCATTTGATTAAAAAATACAATTTAATTACATATTGCTCTTTGCCGGTACTTTATAAACATTCGTTGACTTACAATATGAAAACATAATGAAATAAAATTAAATAAAAAAATAAAAATAAAGAAATAAAAATTGTAAAATAAGAATGAAATAAAAAGTTAAAGAAATAACAATTGAAAAATTAAATTAAACAAAAAAATACAGAAATAAAAATTATAAATTAAAAAATAACAAGTTTACATAAAAAATGATAATTATTTTAAAAAAACAAATGGTTTTTATTCAAAATTAACTTATTTTTTTATTCGTTATTTTTAAAGAGAATGTTCGAAAAATTTTATTTTCGACTCACGAATTTAAATTGTTATATTTTTTTCGATTTGAATATCTAATTTTTCCGGTTTAAGACAAAAATACGTGACTGATAGAAAAATATTTAAATAAAGTGCATTTGTTATTTAAGTAAGTAAATGTCTTTCAAAGTGTAACTCATTTTCATTATTTTTTATATTGTGTATATTTCTTCATATATAATAAACAATTTTATTATTTTTAAATTAATTTTGTGTATAATAATTCTATAATGAACCAAAAAAAAAATGTTAATAATAGTGCCGTAAATTTGTTAAATAAATAAATAAATGGTAATAATAGTAATGATAATAATAATAATAATAGTAATTAGTAATAACAATAAAAATATTAATACTAATAGTAATAATAACTAGTAGTAATTTTAATAATAATTATAATAATAATAATAGTAACAACAATAATAACAAGCATTTTTTCAATTTTCGAAAACTTCAAGTTTTTAAAAAGGAAAATAATTTTAAAAACACATACTCACATTGTATTTTTGTATTGTACGGAAGAATTGTTATTAAAGAAGAAAGTGGGGCTCCGAACAAAGTAATCTTTAATCAACAAAACGTTTTTTTTCCCTAAACATAAACTCTTAAATGTCTCACATTTTTTTTATTTCTAAAAATATTTTACTTTCCAACAAGTGCGATTAAATATTCCATTTACTGTTTGTTAATTTCAAAACATTTTTTATTTCTTTGATTTGTTTATATTCTTGATGATAATTATATATCAATTTTTGATCCTGATTTACAATTTAACAAAAAGAAATAAATAAATAAAATACTATTAACTTGAAAGTAGTTAACGAATTAATACCAAAAATATACGTAAGAAATCATAATTTGATGCAAATTTTTTTCTATCAATTTGATACAATTTTTTATCTAAATAAAAATTAAATAAATATAAATAAAATAAATTTCTTCTTAACAAAAACAGAAAAGGAAATTTTTTACATTTATCGAATATCTTCTCAATATAAATAACGAGAATATTAAAACTATAACATTAATATGTTTCTATATATCTATTGGAAATATGGAGAATTTAGTTTTAAATTCAAATTTAATTTTTCAATTTACGTAATGACTTGTAATATGCACAACTAGTATGCGTTATTTTTGTAATTTGTTAAACGATTGTAAAAGAAGCTTATGCGGAATTATTATTCAGATAAGGAGAATATATGATGATTTATATATATATAATCCTAATCTTTTTTATCACGATTGATAAATAATCCGTTGTCAAATTCATTATCAATGTTCTCTAAAGTAGCAAAATTCCGTATGTAACCAAGGTCATGGAATAATTTCGGAAATTAATTGTTGCTATTAATTAATTGTTATTACTAGTAATGACTAATTTTTCATAGAAATTAAAATGAAAATTTACATTTACAAAAAATAAAAATCAATTTTTTTTAATAGATTACAAATAATTTTTTATCTATTTTTTTTAATTTCTAATTTTAAAGTACAAAATATTCTAAGGAATTTCTGTGACAATTTTTTACTATTCCCGCGGAGTAAGTCTTAGTGAAAATGAGTAAAGTTTATTATCCAGAAACAATTAAAATTTATTGCAGAAATTACAGGTTTTTCCTTTACTTTGTAAATTGTAAAACTTATTTTTTTTTATTTTTTCCGTGTTTGTAAAAATTAAAATAATCATTTCTATAAATGTCCCTTGTATTAATTTCACAATTATTTAAAGGTAATTTATTTGTTAATTTATTTTTATTTACTATTTTCATTCAGTATTTTTATTCTACTTACTATTTTTTTATTATTTTTATATTTACAATATTTATTTACTATTTTTTTGATATTTTTGTTTATTATTTTTATTTGCTATTTTGAATAATTATTTTTATTTAATTTTATTAAATTTAAGTAAAATTTTTTTAAGTACATATTTATTTGATAACAGGCAAGTAATCGATTAGCTGAATAAAAAAAAATTTCTTTTCACTGTACGATGGTTTAATTAGCATAGAGAAAATTGCGTTGCATTAAAATAAATTGTAATAAAATTTTCTCTGAGCATAAAATTTTCAATTTATCTATAAACCAATTATTAAGGTCATGTTATTCAGTGGTCACGTGCTCCATATACTTTACTATGAAAAAACATCACACTGAATAACATGGCCTTAAAGCTCAAACACTTTAGCATTTTACGGAAACATAAATTCCAATTCCTCGTTTAATTTAAGTTTACAAAAAAAAAATGTTTAATTTCGTTTATTTTAAATTTACTCACCAAGAGAAAAATTTTATTTAAACCAAATATAATTTATTTGAGTTAAATAAAAGTATATTTGCCTCGGAGCCTTATAAATTATTTAAATATTTTAAATCAAAATTTTATTTGACACAAATAAAATTTTTATTCGAACCACATAAAATTTATTTGAAACAAATAAAAATTTTATTTGACACAAATGAAATTTGTATTTGAACCTAATAAAATTTATTTGAACCCAATAAAATTGATTTGAAACAAATAAAATTTTAATTTATTCTGAGTCAAATATATCTGTTTCTGGATTTAAAAAAAAAATTGTAATTTCGTACAATTTTAGCTTTGCAAAAAAGGAAAAAAAAATGAAAAAACATGATTTGTAAATCACTTCCATAAACAGGTGAGAGAAGGGGTTTATTTTGCACTTTGCGTTGATGATTGTGGCCCACTTTATATCTCTATACACGTAATCGTGCGGCTATTGCCTTTATAATGGAAGAGTAGATATTACGCGTTTAATGTTCCCATTGCAGAACATGTGACCAATCTCTATAACAAACCATCAAAAGTGAATGTACTTATTATTGAACACTGTAAATTCTCCAACCTTGACAAGATCAATTTCTTCTACTTTGCAATTTAAATATTTCTAACAAATCCCAATTTTTTCTACAATGTTATTATATGCCCATAAAAAAAATTTTACCTCAGAGCCTACTAAATTATTTATTTGTTTCAAATAAATTATTTATTTCAAATAAATTTTATTTGGTTCAAACAAAAATGTTCTCTCTGGAGTGTAATTATTGAAAAAAAGAAATGATTGAAAAATTTTCTATTAAGAAAATCTGAATTTTAAAAAATAATTAATTTTTATTCAAAATTCATCCCCCCTTCGCCTATTCATTAGATTGATTACGAAATGCCAAACATTAACCGGTTTTGTAAACACTCTTACTTTTCGAATTTAAATCCTTTTATGCTGCTGACTTACAAATTGTTTCCCTTTCACTTCCATTGTTTTTTATTTGCTTGAATATTAAATTTTACCAAAAAGTAGTTTTAAATTTTTTATTTTATCAAATAGAAATAATTACTTTTTATTTAGTTTGACAGGCTTACAGATGAATAAATAAATAAATTTTTACAAATAAATAATTATCACTTATTAATTTATTATATTGTTATTGTTGTTATTATTATTGTTATTATTATAATTATTATTATTACAACTATTATTATTATTATTTTTACAATAATATAAAAAAATAATAATTATTATTATTAGGTATTACTATTTATTGTTATATTTATTATTATACAATAAATAACCATACGGACATGTAATTATCATAAGCGGAAATTTTTTTATTGACAAATTAATTTTTGAGATTTACGATTATATATAAACTGCACTCTCAAGATATTTATACAATATATAAGAGTGAATTTAAACATTTGATGGTTTCCACAAGGTTAAGATTCCCATGTTCTTAATAATTATATCCTTGATCAAGAAAAAAAAATAATGCAAATTAGATTCAGGAAGAGAAAAGCCTATAACCTTGAACTACATATTTAATTTTATTAAAAGTGAAATTTTTTTGTGTGCCGCCTATAAATTTAATAACAACACAGTTTGGAAAAATTTAATTAATTTCTTTGTAAAATTTTTGTAACAATTTTTTTTTAATTTTCTTGTAATTTTTCTATAAAAGAAATATTATAAACAAAAGTTATTTATAGACTAAATATTAGTCGAAAATTTACTATAATTCAAAAGCAAAAAGTAAGTCAATAATTAGTAAATTTTGTATCAAATTGTAAATTGACTAAAAGTAAATTGACTCAAGTTAATAATAATTAGTAAATTTTACTAATAAATAGTAATCTTTACCAACTCAAAAGTAAAAAGTAATCCAATAATTAGTGAATTTGTATTAAATTTTAAATTGACTCAAGTAAATAATTAGCAAATTTTATCAATAAATAGTAGTTTTTACTAATTCAAAAGCAAAAAGTAAGTCAATAATTAGTAAATTTGTATTAAATTTATTGTAAATTGACTCAAGTAAATATATTAGCAAATTTTATCAATAAACAGTAATTTTTACTAATTCAAAAGCAAAAAGTAAATAATTAGTAAATTTGTATTAAATTGCATTTGAGTTGTAAAATGACTAAAGTCAATGATTAGTACATTTTACTAATAAATAGTAATTTTACTAATTTATTAGTCAAATTTACTAATTGAAAAATAAAAAGTCAGACACTAATTCAAATTAGTAAACATTTTAACAAATTTTAACAAATTTAGAGAAAACTTAAATTGTGTTTAAATTATGAAAATAGTAAGAAAAGTATAACTATTACTAATTTTACTAACTCGAAAAAATTTACATTCGTCTAATTTATTAAAAAATTACTAAATTAAAATTAAATTAAAAATTACTAATTTGATTTGTTTTAATTAGTCTGTTGTAAAAATACTAAAAAATAATTACGAGTTTTGTCAATTCGACTAAATTATAAATTAGTCTAAATAATAAAAATACTAAAATCACTAATTACTAAATTTTGCTTTTCGACTAATACAAATTATTCTAATAACACAAAAACAGTAAAAATACAAAATTACAAATTTTTACTAATTCGATAAATTATAATTAGTCTAATAAACAAAAAAAGGAGTCGAGTATAAACTACGTCACACTATTTTGCATAATTTTTCCACCCCCCTCCCCATCACGTCACAAATTTTACATGCTTTGACGCCATTTTTTCTACAGAACGTCAGAAAAAATTAATTCCACCCCCCTCTAAGGCGAGACGTAGTTTCTGAACGGCCCCAAAGGAAAAATACTAATTTACAAATTTTTGCTAATTCGACAGAATTTAAATTAGTTCCAATCAGTAAAGTTTGAATTTTTAGCATTCATTTTTTTTCTAAAGTGTGAGTATTTTTCAAGGACTCCCAACACTATTTAAATGTATATACAGAAGCAACTGGTACCTTGACTCAACACAACTCACTTTACCGGAGGAGCAAATAATAATTAATTATATTTTTTCTCTCCAAGGAGAAAAAAAATTATTTTAATGATATTCCACTTCTTCTTAATACACATTAACTTTCTACACACCGTTTCGATATATATTTCAAAAATTTTAGAATTTGTTTTATTTAAAAATTTTTATGTATATATATATGTATATTATAATAAAATTATAATATTTATTTGTTTATTTTAAAAATATACGGGACGAGCCCTTTCGTACTAATTATTACATTTAATAACTATTTATTATTAATACAATATTCATTAATTAATTAAATATTAAAAAAATTTGTAAGAGGTAAATTTTTCAGTAAAACTACAAGAGCAGTTAGCTGCTTTTAATTAGTTTTAATGGCAGCATAAACAAATATTTGTCAGAAAGTCTTTCCTTCGCAATATTATGCAAACTTCATGTTTATCAGGGGACATTTACTCAGTTACATAAAATGCAAATTACAAGATCTATATATATGTATAGCTGTATAGACTTCAGGAAATAGTTTCTGGAGAAGGAAAAAAATCACCTTGCTCGTTATTACTCAATGACATTATAATGAATTAAAAATAAAAGACACTAGAGAATTCCATCATCCTTATACATTAAACCAATTCTGCTTTCAAAATTCGTACTAATTTATTAAGTTTTTTATGATAAAAAGTCTTCCGAAAAATCAAAAAAGAATTTTTTTTCATGTTACAGCCTCATTTCATCTTAATGATGAATAAAAATACAAGAGAATTTAATTTTTTTTAATTCATTAACTAGTTATTCGCCTAATTTATTTTTGAAAATAATTTCCAGTAATGGTGAAAAAGTATATCCAATGGAGGCGAATGGTCATGTTGAGGAACCAACAACTGTTAATAAATTCAAACGAGCATTGCCTCAATTTCTCGCCGTTGGTGCAAAAAATATGCTACTTCTCACTTTTGGTACCACATTAGGATTTGCGACAATTTTAATTCCGGCACTGAAAGAAGGAATTGAATTGAAAGCCACCACAGAAGAACGAAATTTGATAGGTTCGTATATTTCTCATTAACAGATTTTTACCCATAAAAGATTATTATTTTTTATTAATAAGCCACTTTCAGCACCTAGTTATGCAGCAACCACTTAATTTTGGATTTTAAAGCTAAATTTCTTTTGTTTGAAACCAACATACAATTTTGAAAAATTAAGAGGATGCTGATAAGTGGGTGCAAGTTTCAGCTTCATAAAAAATATTTAAGCTTAAAATTTATTTTCCAAAATTAAGTTGGTGAATCATGAAGAATAGTATGAATAATTTGTGTTTTCTTTCTTGTCTTTCAGGTAGTCTCAATTTATTTTTGGTACCAGTCGGTTGCTTCTGCAGCGGTCCAATATCACAGACTTTCGGAAGAAAACGAACGATGATGATGATGACTGTGCCATTCATTACATCATGGATAATATTTTACTATTCTTACAATATGACAATGATATATGTCGCATTGGTAATCAGTGGTTTGACCGGTGGTCTTTCAGAAGCACCAGTACTGACATATGTTGCAGAAATAACCGAACCAACCTACAGAGGCATGCTCTCGGCAACATCCACAATGACAGTGATTCTAGGCATATTCCTTCAAATGTTAACTGGAAGTCTAGTCAGTTGGAAGACGACAGCTCTAATTAACATTCTCTATCCAGTGATGTGCTTCTGTGCACTTTTCTTCGTACCAGAAAGTCCCTACTGGTTAGCAAGTACGTAAATTACCAAATTTTAGATTTGGTATTTTTAATTACCACATTCAGCGAACTTTATACAAAATGTTCTGGACCATTACAGGGTTGCCACAAAAATTTAACTTTATTTTTCCCTGACTTTTTCCCTGACCCAAAAGAATATTCTGATTCACTCTAAAAATTATTAGATACTGCGAAAAATCTTTAAAATAAATATTTAATCATTATTTTTTTTCATTGGAATTAAGATGTTCAAAAATTTCAAATTCAAACCTTTTCAAATTAAACAATTTCATAAGAATATTATTATAAAACATAAGACTCGGAGTGATCCATTTCCTTATGTTTTATAATAATTAAAGATGACCGAGTGACAAAATCAATATTTTATTATTATGAAAATATTGTTACTGTAATTTCTTTAAAATTATTTTCATCATTTCAATTCAATTATTATTCTCTACAATTTGAAAATAAAATTCTTCTTTTTTTTAAATCAATTTTTTTTTTTAATTATTTAAATACAAAAATAAATAACTTATTCAATAATTGAATGTTTCTTAAAAATTAATTTTTACGAATTATTGTAGAATTCGCGGTAGAGAATCACCGGCAAGTAAAAAGTAAAAACCGCGAATATATATTCTCGAAATATCGATAATAAAATAGAATAATTCGAGTAAATATTAACCGATTTTGCTCAATTTTTTTTGCTGGATAAAGAATAATAAAAGACAAAATTCTGATAAGTTTATTCAATATTTTGGATACTTTTATAGAATTTATAATAAAAAAAAACTGAAAAATATATTTTTTAAATTTCAAAAAATCAATTTTTTTTTTGTGAATAATCCAAATATTTCAAAAAATACGAAATGTATTAAAATTTCCTTAAAATAAATATCGAGATTTTAATACAATTAATAATTTTCTAGAATATTTTACATATCCGTTTAGAAGTTTAGACAAACCTAGAGACTAAACTTCTAAGCGGATATGTAAAATATTCTTGAAAATTATTAATTGTGTTAAAATCTCGATATTTATTTCAGGAAATTTTAATACATTTCGTATTTTTTGAAATATTTGGATTATTTACAAAAAAAAAATTGATTTTTTGAAATTTAAAAAATAATTGAATTTATGTGAATAATTTTGTTATTTATCAAGATAATCCTTATTAATAAAATCAGATGTCTGTCTGTACATTGCTTAAAACTTCAAAATGTTAACATGATTAGTTATTATGGACATCAGAGATTCCAAAAATGTTCTTAAAAAATTTAATGTATGTATGTATGTATGTATGTATGTATGTATGTATGTATGTTTGTCTGTCACAAAAACTTTGTACCCCAATCACACAAAAACATGTGAATCGATTTAAGTCCAACTTGGTAGGTTATTAGGTATTGACCCAAGGAAGGTTTATAAATTTACAGATTTAAAAAATATTAATTAGAACGGGAGATATTCAATTTTTTCAAAAAATTCAAAAAATCGAAAATTTCAAAATTCTTTATTTTTCATGGATTGCTTTTGAAGTTTATATACTTGAGTATTATATGTTATTTAGTCACATTATAGCATAACTTTGCAAAAAATAAAGTCCTATAACTAATATGTAAGTATAAAAATGTTTTCAAAAAATCGAAAATTTCAAAATTTTACATTTTTTTATGGATTGCTTTTAAACTTTCTATATTTGAGTATTACATGTTATTTGGTCACATTTTAGCATAATTTTTCAAAAAATACTATTCTACAACTAAGATGTAAATATAAAAATATTTTCAAAAACTTGAAAAATGGAAAATTTCCAAATTTCACAATTTTTAATGGATAGCTTTTAAACTTTCTAAAAATGAATATTATATGTTATTTTGTCAGATTTTATCATAATTTTGCAAAAAATACTATCCTACAAGAAATATAAAAAAATTTTCAATATATCAAAAAATCGATACTAATTACTATATATGAAGTATAATTCAGTAGTATTTTTGGAGTCTCTGATTAATATTTTGATGTCAAAATAGTGCAATTCAAAATTATTTATCAAATCAATCTAATATTTTCAAGAAGTTCAGAAATATTGAAAATGGAAATTTTTTATGATTAAAATGATTTCGCAGGATGTCAAGAATTGTAAGTCACCTGTGATACAATACAAGCATATTATGCCACTAGGCAAAAACTTACATGTTAAAACGTTTTTTCATTTTAACTCTAGATTTAACTTTAAGAGATGTTTTGAGCAATGTAAAGACAAAAGTTAACACGGTGTCTATTTTTGTTTAACAAAATTCCCTGCTTTGTCCAAACTTTTCACGGTTTATCTCTTTTTTGTCAAATTTAAATTTACTTGATTTTATCCATAAATAAATCTACAAATGGCTATAAAAATTTACTTATTTTATGAAAATACTGTTTCTTAAGTTCATATAAATATAGATTGTATTACTTGCTGTCGTACAGTTTTCTGTTTATACTAATACATTTAACTGGGTATCTACCAAAAGGGAAAAACTGTAAAAAGCTGGGAATATGCCGAACCGGGAATTTTCCTATCAAATTAAGAAAAAGTTTCATTATATTAATTCGCTTTTAAAAAATTGCTTTTTACTTCAATTTTTATTGATGTATAATATTTATGAAAACAGACCCGAGTCAAAATTTAAGCCCTACTTTCAGCCTAAAATTTAGGTCTTATGTTAGGTTTTAGCAGTCGTAACGTAGGGTCTACTTGCGATACAATTAGTTCCAATTAGACTCTACTATAACTCCAAAAACTGTATGGAAAATTTAATTTTTTTAATACATTAATTAAAGTACTACAAATTGATAAATATTGTTCTCTGCATTTGAATTGGTTAAAATAACTAATTTGATAACAAAAAGTCAATCACTGATTCAAATAGTAATATTTTCCTACTAAAATAGCTATAATGGTAACTAATTATTATTTTTTTCCGGTCAAATTAAATTCCCTAGCTATTTCCTGATTTTCCAGATTGGTAGAAACTTAAATGTATTGGTAGAAACTAAAACCCGTCGAAGACGGGTACGACAGCTAGTGGTAATATAAGATTTATATAAGATAAAACTTTTGTAATACATAATTAAATAATATGAAAAAGTTCATTCTTGTCAGAAATAAAAAATTTTTTTTAAGGTTTTGTATTATATGTTTATGAGCTTTCCAAAAAAGACACCAAAAATTCAGAATTTTCTTATGAATTCTAAAAATTAAATTTTTTCCAGTACTTTTAATAAAAATCCCTGACTTTTCCCTGAATTCACAGATTTCCCTGACCTGTGGCAACCATGCATTAGTTACAGATATGTATTTCTGCAAAATGTGGTGAATAATGAAGAACAAATTTCAAGAATGCTAAGCATTTATTAAAAAAAACTACTGTACTGCACCAAGAGAAAAATATTATTTAAACAAAATATATTTCATTGGACTTAAATAAACGTATATTTGTCTCAGAAGCAACTAGACTCTTTATTTGTTTTAAATAAAATTTTTATTCGACATAAATAAAACATATATTTGAGCCTAATAAAATTTTATTTAAACCAAATAAAATTTATTTGGGTGTGTTAATGCCATTTTATCTCTTCAATGAGAATTCAGCTAATCGTACGAAAATCCGTTTCGTAAAAGTATAGTCCAGAACTCTATTAAATTCCCTGAAATTTTGAACCAAACATTTCTGGTTGCACTAATTTTTTCTCCTCTAAACATCATTTTAGGTAAAGGACGAATAGCAGAAGCGGAAAGATCCCTCTGCTGGTTAAGAGGCTGGACAAGCCCAACTGAAGTAAATACGGAATTTCACCAAATCACCGACATGGTAAAATCAGTGAAGATAAATGCAAAAGAAAATTCAATATTAAAGAACCTACACCACTACAACAAGAAAAATTTCTACAAACCATTTATTCTTGTCGCTATAACATTTTTCGTTTCAACATTCAATGGCTCACTTGTACTGCAAACGAATGCTGTGGAAATTTTCGAAGGTCTAAAATCGCCAATTGAAAAATATACCGCAACAGTATTCCTTGGCTTAACGGAATTCGTATCAAGTGTTGTTTGTGCATTTATTATTCACATACTTGGTAAAAGAAAATTAACCTTCTTCTCAGTTGGTGGAACATTCTTTTGTTATCTTCTTTTAGCAATCTATGGTTATTTAATTAGAAACAATCATATTGATACATCCCATTACGCATGGCTTCCAACGACATTATTGATAGGTTCGGCCTTCTTCTCGCACGTGGGTATTAGATTGATACCTTGGGTTTTATCAGGCGAAGTCTTCTCATCACAGGTATGCAAGTGTTTTCTATTCTAATTACAACAAAAATAACAGATGTCTATTAATTAGCGAAATGAATGTATAATGTATTGTCACCAATAACATAATGGGAATTAATTCCTCTTCTGTTTTCAATTAGGTCCGCGGTACGGCGACCGGAATTGCAGGTTCATTATACTACATTTTTGGTGCTATTGCAAATCTAGTTTTTGAGCCCATGACGACATGGATCACTCTACCTGGAACATTCGTATTCAATACATGTATTAATTTGGTTGGTGTGATTACTTTGTATTTTATTATGCCAGAGACAGAAGGAAGAACACTCAAAGAGATTGAGGAGCACTATTTGGGAATTCAAAAATTGAAACACAGACCAACGAAAGAGAAAATAGCGTCTAAAGAAAAGTGGGCTGCTACTAATCCGCAACCTATAAATGATGATCTTGAGAGTAAAATTTGAGAGAAAAGTGGAGAAAGCAGAAATAAAGAAGAAGAAATCTAACTCCGAAGAAAATACTGCCTTGATCTCTAAAGTCTGATTCTTTTTCAACACAGATCATTGAATATTTGAAAGAAAGGAATATTCAAAAGAAAACAAATCCAAAGCATGACAGTGGAAAAATTTTTTCGAGAAAGTTTCAAGATACATAATACAAAATGTGTGCTGAATGAAAGTTTTGTAAACTGTACATATAGTAATTTACATAATTGACACTTGAACTCTTGGACAAATATTATGAATATAAATAGAATTATAGATTTTTAAATAATATTCTCATTTTTGACGTCGGTTTCTTTCTCTGCATTGAAACCTAACTAATCGCAACAATACTTCATTTTTAACAATGAATAATTATTATAAAATTCTCATTAATTTTTTTTATCTCAAATTTACAATAAATATTTTCTAAAGCTAGAAAGATTTTATTTAAAACAAATATAATTTATTCGAGTTAAATAAAAGTATATTTGCCTCAGAATCTACTAAATAATTTGTTTTATATAACAAAATCTATTCGACACTAATAAGATTTTTATTAGAATCAAACAAAAATTTATTTCAACCAAATAAAATTTATTTTCACTAAATAAACTTTATTTCAACGAAATGAAATTAATTTTAACCAAATAAAATTTATTTCAATCAAATAAAATTTGTTTGAACCAAATAAAAACTTATTTTAACGAAGTAAAATTGATTTGAAACAAATAACAAAATTTAGTAGACTTAGAGTCAAATATTTTTTTCTGGGTGTAAATTAGTGCACTCAGAGAAATGGTATATTTAGCTCAGAACCAACTAGACTTTTTATTTGTTTCAAATAAATTTTATTTGGTTTAAATAAAATTTTATTTGGCTCAAATATATGTTTTATTTATGTCGAATAAAAATTTTATTTAAAACAAATAAAAAGTCTAGTTAGTTGTAAGTCAAATATACGTTTATTTAAGTCAAATGAAATATATTTGGTTTAAATAATATTTTTCTCTGGGTGGGAAAATTAAATTTTCTTCTATTTTTGAAAGTTCAAATAGACGAAAATTTTTTTTTGCTTATATATTATAAACATTTTAATGTTTCAAACTTCCCTTTACTATCCAAACAAGAAAAATTAAACATTTACTTAGTTAAGAAATAATTTTTTTAAATGAAAATATATGTGATGAAAAAAAAATATTTTTAATAAAAAAAAACATTTTCAACGAAAATGAATATTTTTAACGAAAAAAAAATTTAATATACTCTTGAAAGATGTACTTTTATAACTCCTATCTACTAATGTACATCTTATTACTTTTAGAAATCGCGAAAAAAAAGATAAATTTCGTATATAGATTTAATCAAATAATGTACGTTATCGAATTATTGCATATTTTTACGCCGATTATTAGTAAACGTTTATAATCAATTATATTGTACATACCGTTAAATTACGAAATGATAAGAAAATTTTTATTTATCTAGCTACTATTTTGTCTCGTCTTTGTAAGCGAAAAATCTTAAATAGTTTTATAAATATTTAAGCAAAAATATTGTAAATTAAAGAATGTTTGTGTAGCGTTTATATAGTATATAAAAATATTATTGTAGTTTTTTAAGAAATATGTAATGTAGGTAACATAAAAGTTACAATATCCGTGAGATAAAAAGAAAGTATTGCCAAAATTGCGTACAATAAAAATGCAAATCAAAATTTGCATTTAATTTTTAAAACAGCAGTAAAAATTTAGGAATGCAAATTAATTTTCAAAAAATTTGTTGCATTCATTTTTGTCGAACAAGATAGAAGAATATTATAAAAATATTATAAAATTTATATTTTTTATATAATTTATAAATTGAAAAACCTAATTTATTTTGATTCAAATAACTGATTACTTATCTAATTATTAAATAACTATTTATTCGAATCAAATAATTTTTTTGTAAATCAATTAATTGGCATTCGCTTCAAATACTGAAATTATTTGATTCAAGTAAATATTTATTTCATAATAGACAAGTAATCGGTTATTTGAATAAAATATATTTTTTTAGTGTATATGTACATTCTTCACAGTAGTAAAATTTTAAAACTTAAGTAAAAAATTAAATTAATTAAATTCAAAAATTCAGTTGCATTCCGACAGGTTTGACTGTATAAAAAAAGTTAATTGTTGAAAGGAGATGGAAATCTGTGCAATGTCAGTAAATGAGTAAATGTTTTTTGTACCTCATAAATTATGCGTGCAATTATTTTTTTATAAAAATTTGTTTACTGTGTAAAATAAAATAAATATGTGCCTTATATACGTTTATACTTGTAAATTTTAATTTTGAATTATACTAATTATTTATTTTTTAAATTTAATATAAATTAATTATATATATTCTATAAAATATTAATTAAATGGATAAAATTTGATTCAGGGCTTCCACAGAATAATAAATTTTTAATTTTTATAGTATCCTCAAGTTTTAGTAAAATTCTAATAAATTTAAAATAATTAATAATTCAAATCATAATTTGTCAATTTAAGTAATTATTATAAACTAATAGTTTTGATAATTTAATTTACAGGTCTCAAATATCAATATGTTGACAGTTATTCAAATTAGAGTAAAAAATTCAGAAAAAAATATTAATCGACTTACATTGTACTGCATTTTACTGTATCCGACCTCTTTCTCCATTAAAACGAACACCTGTAAATTAAAGAGAGAAAAATTATTTTACCTAAATAAATAAATATTCTTATTACAAAATTAATTACTCGCAAAATTTTCTTCAATTTTCCAATTCCTCCCCTTAAAAAAGTAATAATTGTAAACTATAGTTTTTGAATTGTTCGCGGGATTTTTATATAGTTTCTTAAGTTGGTCACATTGTTACGCAGTCATGCGCTTTTCATTCATATTCAAATAAAATATCTTCTATTTTTAAACATTATGACAATTTTAAAAAATTTAAATTAGTCAATTTGAAAAAAATTATACGAAAATTATATAGAACTAGAATAATAAAATTATTCATATACTTTTAAACCTTATGATAAATAATTAGAAAGCAGTTCAAATGTTTCCTATAAAGATTCTTCTGATTTGAAATTTTCAATTTCGATTGTATCGAAGTGCGATTTTTGAACAATATCGAAAATAATCGACAATTGTTGATTTAAATTAAATTTTTTATTTTTCATGTATAATTTATGTTCGCTGTAAGAATTGCCTTTATTATTCTGTTTTCAAATTCAATTTCAATTTTGACAAACAAAGTTAAAAATAATAAATTAATAAATAAATAATTTTTCTCATTGAAATTCTTTATTATTCCATTATTTTCAAAACTAAATAAAATTTTTTTATTTATTTTCTATTTCTATGGAATATATTAAAAAATTATAAAGTTTTTGGTGAATTTTAATAAAAATATAAAACTACACGATTTTTCAAAAATTTCAATGATAAATCTAAAACATTATTTTTCTTATAAACATTAATTTACATTTCTTTAAGATAATTGAATTTTAAAAATTTACTATAAAAAAATTCTAAGAACTAATTTTTTAAGAATGAAATGCAATTTTTCGAATAACTAATTAAATTTTTAAAAAAATGTTGTTTATAATTTAAAAAAAACTAATAACCTTTTGAAGAATTTCAATTAAAAATTTTGAAAATTATTGATGTTCTCCATTTATAATTGTTTTCAAACAATTTTAAAGTATTGTTTTAAAAATTTTATAATGTAATATTTTAAAAAATGTAAATATATTTTTTTGTAGATATTTGAATTTTTGAAAATATCCAATTGAAAATATTGAAAATAATTGAATCTAATTTTCGTTAATTTTTATTTAGCGATTTTTCATTAAAACCTTTGACAATTCAATTATTTTTTAAATTTTTGAATAAATTTTCCAAATTGGTGATTTTTAAAAATCTTAATGAAATACTCAAAAAAATAGCAATTAAAAACCTAAAATTTTACAAAATTTCGATTATTTAAAAATTTTTTTATTGTACTTTTCGAAAATTTAATTATTTAAACAAAATTATTCAAAACTAGTTTTCGAAATATTTTACTGTAGTTATTTCAAAAATTGTGTTTTATAGTAAAATTTTGTCAATTGATATAAAAGTTTTAATATTTTACTAAAATTTTTCGTAATAACTAAAAGATTTCATAAAATATCAAAATAATTTAGTAAAAAAGGAACATTTTAATAAAAAATATTAAGAAAAATTAAAAAATTAGAAACAAGTTAAGAAAAGTTTCTTAATTTTTTTATTAATTAAAATTAAATTGAAAAAACGGGAAAATTTTACAGAGAAAAATAACTTCAATTAGTGCGTAAAAAAAGAAAATAAAACATTTAAATATTCAGTAAAAAAAGAACATTAATAAAAAATATTGAGAAAAGTTAAAAAAAATTAGAAACAAGTTAAGAAAAGTTTTTTAACTTTTCTTAATTTTTTTATTAATTAAAATGAAATTAAAAAAACGGAAAAATTTTACAAAGAAAAATAACTTGAATTAGTAGTAAAAAAAAGAAAAAAACATTAAAATATTCATTAAAAAAAAGGTCGTTAATAAAAAAATGTTTAAAAAGAATAAAAAAAACGAAAAAAATTTATAAAGAAAATTAAAAAAAAAACTCAACAAAGTTTTCCTAAAAATTACTTTATCATTTGCAGTATTTCCCTCTAATTACACCCCTCCTCAAAAAGTAAACTTTTCCTGTAAAAGTGAATTCTCAATTTTCCAAATTAACAACTTGGACCAAAAACAAAAAAAGAAGAAAAACGATATTTAGCTTTTTAGAGTCAACTCGCAATGGACACGCTTGGTTAAACTGAGAATGCATCGCATCGGGGATCAACAAGTAGTAAAGCTGTTTGTAAAGTGAGCTTTCTTGGCATATATTGATGTGAGTCGGGTTGAGGATGCGCAGGCGCTGGGGGCCAGGATTGGCACGGGCGGGGGTCTTCGAAATGGTCGATATTTTAGCTATAAGCGGGGACTACAGTGGCGCGAGGCATTTTCCGAGGCCAGTTCAGTCTCTCCTTTATTGTCGTGACTCAAAAGAAAAAGACAAAAAAAAAAGAACGAAAAAAAATAAAACAAAACTCCCCGCCAATCCCCCCCCTTTCATTTTTAATTAACAATTTATAAAAATAATTTCTTCAAACTTAATACGTGATTATTTAAGAAAGTGCAATTTGATATTTAAAAGACAAGTGTCAAACGTGCAGCTGGTTCGGTTGTCGTCCGTGGAATTTCTTCGCTAGAGGTAATACCAATTGTATATACATATATATACACCTACACTCACAAAAATATATACATACAAAAATCAAAGTGTGATAAAAAAAGGAGAAAATTTTTGTGAAATGTGTAGTATCGAGAAAATGAAAAACTAAAGGGACTGAAAACTCCCCCATTTTGTGAGAGTAAGAGAGAGAGAGAGAGAGGGAGGACAAGAACGCGATTCTTTAACAGAGGTAGAGGCCAGTGAATCAATAAAAAAAAATTTTCACGCACGGAAAATCGATACAGTTTTATACAATTTTTGATTTTAGTAAGAAATTGGATAAATGATTTTTTTTTTTTGGAATTAACTAACGAGGGGGAAAATATTTTCCACTTTTGTTAATACACTCCCCTTTTCCTTCTCGAGCAGTATTTTTTTTTCGTGAAATAATTTACAAATCAACCACGTTCTAAAACTATCGCTGTCGTGACCGAATTTCCACGGTCGCCTATATTGACCTCCTTGGAGGGCTAACAGCGCGAATACAGACGATAAGTCCACTTCCTTTACGATATGATGATTTGATGATGATAATTTTCAAGCTTTTATTTTGTACTAGCAATTATTTTCATTATATTTAACAAACTTTAAAGACACTTTTTTTCTATTTCTATTTCTATTTTCGTTACTTGTTTTCCAATAATTTTTGTTTTATTCTCGATTTTAGTCATCCTTACAATATTGACTTTTTGCAGCCAGAGAAAATTTTTTGTTTAAAGCAAATATAATTTATTTGCGATAAATAAAAATATATTTGTCTCAGAGAGCAAACTAGGTTATTTATTATTGTTTCGAATTAAAAATTTTATTCGCAATAAATGCAACTTTTATTAGAACCAAATAAAATTTATTTGAAACAAATGCAACTTTTATTTGAACCAAATAAAATTTATTTGAACCAAACAAAATTTATTTGAAACAAATAAAATATTTAGTTGGCCCTGAGTGAAATATATTTTTTTCTGGGTGTGCTTTTGAATTAGTGAATTTTACAAATAAATTAGTAGAAATGACTATTTATTAGTAAAATTTTAATTTTTTAATTTAGTAGAAATTACTATTTTTTAGTAAAATTTACTACCTATTTATTAGTAAAATATAATATTTAAATTTTTTAAATTATCAGTTATTATTATTTATTAGTAAAATTTTTCATTTAAATTTTTTTAATTAGTAGAAATGACTATTTATTAGTAAAATTTTTAAGTAGTAAAAATGACTATTTACTAGTAAAATTTTAAAGTAGTAGAAATTACTATTTACTAGTAAAATTTTAGAGTAGTAGAAATTACTATTTATTAGTAAAATTAGAAATTAAAATTTTTCAAATTAATAAAAATTACTATTTATTAGTAAAATTTACTAATTCAAAAGCAAAATGTCAAAAAGCAAAAATTCGTATTTGTAAAAAAATGCAAAATTAGAGACAATACAGTGTAATTTTCCAAGAAGAAAATGTGAATATATATGTTGAAAATCTACTTTGACAGTAACCTTCATTCTTCAGAAGGGAACTTTTGTGAAAAAAGTGGGACATGGTTCGTTACAACTTTCATCATGATGACGATAAGGATAAATTAATAAAAATTAAAATCAAAGCGAAATTTATGGATTTTTTATATTGAAAATAGAAAGAAATATGAGAGAAAGAGAGACAGAGAGAGGGAGAGAGAGAAGTGAGATCGATCTCGTCGAAAATGTATATTTACATAGTCGAAGAGTGCTGCATATTGACAATATATGATTCAATGCTTCAGAAATTGAACTGGAAATTGCGAAACGAGAGAAAATTAAGTTACTAATTGTATCAAGTTAGATTATAAATTCTGCACTGAGAATTTGCAATATTAGAAAAAGAAGGGAAAATCTTTTCCAATCTGAATATTAAGTGAATTTCTTCATTTGAATATTAATATTAGTAGTAATAATTTATTCAACACAAATAATTTATTCATTTTTTTACTTATTTATAAACGGGACAAGCAATAATAATAATAAAAATAGTAATGATTATAAATAATATTATTATTACACAACGAAATTTATAGTTGTTTCAATTATTATTTTCATTTATTTGAAATAAAATTTTATTTGGTTCAAGTGATGCAAATAATGTTGAGTCATTCCATTATATTTCGACTAAAGTCGTTGCCGACTAATTTTAAAAAATTGTAATATTTTGCAGGAATGATTTTAAAGATATTAGGATCACCGAACAAAAAGAATTTTTTAAATATTTTTTATATTTATTGTAAAATAAGCATCTAAAGTATATGAAGTCGTAAAAACTGACACTTTTTCATCTAATAGAAAATATTAAAGAAAACACATAATTTACTATAAAAACGTAAAAAAATTATTAGAATTTATTAAGAATGAATTATTTTATTATTATAAATTGATAGAAACAATTATTAATAAGAAATATTAAATAAAAAATAATTTTAAAGTTTACATGGAAAATAACCTATTTTTGCAAATTTCATTCACTAAATATGAGAAAGAGAAATCATTAAATTGGATAAAACCTTATGAAATATAAAGTACCTGTGATTAACTTTTAGTTTTTCTTATCACTTTCTTCCTGTTTTCTTCACAAATATTAAAAAATAAGCAATTAAAATTGGCACTTTGCTTATTTTCACGATTTTCAAATGTAAATAACTTCTGCCCAGAAAAATGAAAAATTACGAAAATTGGGCAATAATTATTTGATCACTAGATACACTCACTGGAAAAAGATTTTCTTTGGTCCCGAAGCTATTTCTCGAATTAATTAACTTTAAACTTTTTACTATTTTTATCAGGTTAATACATGTGTTTTTTAAAGGACGAAGTTAGCTCTTCTTGTTTAATCGTTTTGAACCAACTTCAGTTTTAAAGAAATCACATGTATTAACCTGATAAAAATAGTAAAAAGTTTAAAGTTAATTAATTCGAGAAATAGCTTCGGGACCAAAGAAAATCTTTTTCCAGTAAGTGTATCTAGTGATCAAATAATTATTGCCCAATTTTCGTAATTTTTCATTTTTCTGGGCAGAAGTTATTTGCATTTTAAAATCGTGAAAATAAGCAAAGTGCCAGTTTTCATTGCTTATTTTTTAATATTTGTGAAGAAAACAGGAAGAAAGTGATAAGAAAAACTAAAAGTTAATCACAGGTACTTTATATTTCATAAGGTTTTATCCAATTTAATGATTTCTCTTTCTCATATTTAGTGAATGAAATTTGCAAAAATAGGTTATTTTCCATGTAAACTTTAAAATTATTTTTTATTTAATATTTCTTATTAATAATTGTTTCTATCAATTTATAATAATAAAATAATTCATTCTTAATAAATTCTAATAATTTTTTTACGTTTTTATAGTAAATTATGTGTTTTCTTTAATATTTTCTATTAGATGAAAAAGTGTCAGTTTTTACGACTTCATATACTTTAGATGCTTATTTTACAATAAATATAAAAAATATTTAAAAAATTCTTTTTGTTCGGTGATCCTAATATCTTTAAAATCATTCCTGCAAAATATTACAATTTTTTAAAATTAGTCGGCAACGACTTTAGTCGAAATATAATGGAATGACTCTGTTAAAAATAATATTGTAATATAATAGGTAAACAATTAACATATGATAAATATGCCAGTTCGTATAATAATAAACTTCTACTGAATAATTAAAAATTAATTACAATATCCAAATTGGAGAATTAAAATTTAATTAACAATATTAATTTACATTTTATATTTATTTTTTATTATTTTTTATATTTATTATTATTTTCATTTAATATTTTGTTTTATTTACTATTATTTTTATTTATTATTTGTTTATTTTTTGTTATTATTAAAGCACTCAGACGTTTAAAATTCAAATATTAATTTATTATTATTATTTTAAAAAATCTTATAAATATAATTGACTAAAAATTCAAACATTTAAAACTGGAAAATAATATTTTTACCGAAAAAATTAATGTATAATTAAACTCTCACACGTAGCATAAAAATGAATTATCGAAATTTAGGTATAATTAAATAAAACTGACATTTATTATTTCGTTGAGATAATTAAAATACTTTAAACAGATTGATTTTCTGTTACGATTGCGCAAAAATGCTGCGAACAATAATTATAACACGAAGAAAAATAATAAGAAATTAAAAAATATCTTCAATTGTCAAAGTTATTAAAATAAAATTCAATGAAATAAAATAAATTAGAATTGAATGAAATACAGTAAAATAGTATATAGAATAGAATAAATTGGAATGAAATATAATATAATTAAATTACAAAAAAGTATATAAAATAGAATAGAATAGAATTAAAATAGAAAAAAATATTATAAAACAGAATAGAATAAAATAGAATTGAATAAAATAGAACAGAATAGAATTAAAATAGAAAAATAGAAAAATAGAATAGAATAAAATAGAATAGAACAAAATAGAGTAAAGTAAACAATAATAATTGATATAAATTACACAATGTAATAAGCAAAAATATAATAATAATAATAATAATAATAATAATAAAAATAATAATAATAATAATAATAATAATAATAATAATAATAATAATAATAATAGAAATAAACAAATAATAAGCAAAAAACAAAATATAATAAAAATAGCACCGGAGATAGAAACAAAGATAACAAAATCTACATAAAAAACTAATTAAGATTCTAAAGATAGTTTGTTTTTAAAACTATATTTTCACTATTTATAGAAAAACAACTTTATTTGTTTCTATATAGCAGAAACTTTATTTTTTCCATATATATATATAATAGTAAAAAGAAAGCATTAATCTTTCAGAGAGAATCCAATACTTTTAAAAAATTTTTATTTTCCTTTTTTCTCTTTTTTTATACTCAGAAGTTAATCAATGAAGAACTCTCTTCAATATAAAAAAAGCTCAAGTACATGTTTCCTACTCAAGTGTTAGTATTCATATTCGTGTCATCTATT